TCCAGCAGGGCTGCTGCTGGCAGGGGGTTTTTGATCATTTTATATGTCTAAAGTATAGATGTATAACAAAAAAGTATAGATGTATAACAATGAAAAGAGAGCACCTATTAGTTACTTTGTATGTATTAAACTTATGTAGTCTTAACTCTATAAGCTTAACTTTAAAGCTTAGCCTCATAGCATGTATTCTTTTTATATACATTCCTAGCCATATAGGTTATCTCATAAACTAAGATAATAGTTGTTTATTCAACCAATCATAAACTGATTATGGAAAACATTTTACAAGCCAACATTTAAATAATCTTTAACTCTTACAAAACTCAGTCTTTAGTAACCAAAAGGCTACCAATAGAAAACACAAGAAATTAGTAAAATATAGAACCTTTGCTTTTTAATCTAGTTTTGTAAGTTTAAGAGCATTTTAACATGCTCATGACAGCTGTAATTTGTATGTCTTGGGCAGCTCTGATTTGAATTTCCTTGTCTGATGTTAAATAGCTAATCACCAGTGATAGCAGCCACCCAGTGGGTCAGTCAGGCATGCACCATCAGTGGTGCAAGCCAGAGGGAACATGCTAATATCTTAAGGACACCTTATTACTTTAGACATAGCTTTTTAATTATAACCCACTTAAATATATCATAATTATTTAATAATGTTTGTTGGGGTGTGCCACAGTCAAACTCTTAGAAAAAGCAGAAAAGTCACCCATCAGTGGAGAAAACTGAACAAATCAACTCAGGCAACTGCTCTTTAAGCCGCGGGGCAGTGGGGGGGCTAGTTTTGGCCAATGGTTCCACAAACCCAAGGGGTCCCCAATTATTTATCTTAACAATTACTTTAGACGATTCATGAGAACAAAATCTAGCAATTAACACTTTTAAACGATACATATTATCTTTAACCAAGGAAAACTCTTATTGTACACAGATAATAGACACTGCATTTATAAAGCCAGTACTTTTTTTACATTATCTTGACTGGCGAACAACCTGGTTAGAAATATGTCACTGCCTTTAAAGACACCTTTATCTTTACCAATGAATTTAAATTAGCCAACTGTTAAGCCACATAAACAGTTACATAACATAAACATTTGGGCTAACATCATGTGCGCCTATTTATCTGTATGCTAACTTATGTAGAACTTTTTGAGGATAATAAATACCTGAAAGTTAACACAGAAACATACACATTAGCTAATCATATATGACCTTTATATTATCAAATCCTAACATTTTCACCTGTAAGCCTCATGTAAGTCTGAAGCCTACCATTTTATCTACCCTCTAATTTTTTTAAGTGAGTTTGGTTTCTCTGAAAACCTATACAACTTGTTTTTGGGGGAGAGAGTCTCCAAAGAGCCTCAAAAATAAGAGGGAGAAATGAAATTAATATGAGCTAAAAAAACTTCGATGAAGCAGCTGTAAGTATCTTAACTACTTATTAAAACAATTTAACAGGCAGATGAACCAACAAGAAACATATAGAACACACAAAACAATTACTTTTAAATCACTCAGGTGTATTGGCCAACTTGAACTATAAGAATCTCTTATAGTTGTAGTTTTATAACTAGACTAGTCAGAACTTTCCCTAGGGGGTAGGCGAATCCTCACAGAAATCTCTTGTAATAAGTTAACACCAATAATAGAAATGAGAAGAGGAAAGAGAGAAAAGCTCTTTACATCCTTGAAAGCAAGGACTATTTTAAGAAGGATCTTAGGTTTAGGACCTACCTTAATCTTTAAAATAGCTGCTACCACAGCGCAGGCTCCTCAGGGCCCTCTGTATTAGTTACTACGGGAAATTGCTCCTTTGATAGCCACAGCTGTTTCTTATGTAAATGTTCTCTCCCGAGGGACAGACCATCAAAGGTATAGTGTTGTGATTTATATATTTTTCTTTGGCAACTACTTTTCCCCTTTCCCAGGGGGTGCTCAGGCCAGGTATGGGTATAGAAAAAACCAAGCACCTGGAGTTCACAATAGTCCTAGCTCTTAAGTTGTACTCCAAGGAAAGGAGGGGAAGCTGTGTTCCACATCAGTCTCCCCAGTATGGATAAACAACAGGGGAGAGGAGGCGCCCCAGCCCCTGTCTGTCCCTAAGGCGTCCCTTAGGCCTGACCCCATCCAGTGGCAGCGGCAGTGAGCTGGAGGTGTGCAAGAAAGTGAGACTAGAGCTGGACTACTGCTCTTAGTGGTGCCTGCATTCCATCTCCTCAGCTCTCTTGATTCACAGGAACTGTAGACTTCACCTTTTTCAGCCCTCCCTCAGTTAGCATATCTCTGGGTACAGAACTTGGTTGCTGGTGTGACAACATGTTCTAGAAAGAAATCATAGCAAGAGAGATGTAGTTCTTGGCTCCCTTAACACCTGTTTTGCCTAAAGCTGCCATCAAACTCATGAGGATCCCTAAGACTGCCTTCTGTTCTACAAACAGTATCATTGGTGCTGTGCTGGGCCTGCCTTAAAAGCCAAGCAGCCCACCCTGCCCAAGAGCATTCTTGGGTAGGGGGAGAAGAGAGCAGAGATGTTGCCTAGTTCCCAGCCCTATTCTAAAGCAGAAAGACAGACAAATTGGAACTAAAACTTTCTCATTCATTTTTTCAAGAGTTTGAAGATTAAATCTAGACCACATTTTAAGAAAAAGGTCCAGGAATAAGTCAGAAGAAATAGGAGATCCAAAATGTGGGTTGTGTGACGATGTTTTATCCACCCACAAAACATAAGGTGACGAACTCCCATCCCTGGAGACACAAAATGCACACCTCCTTTGCAGCACCCTCCAAACAGAGCACACTTCTCCAACTCGTGAAAGTGAAGGCCAGCTTCATTCTAGAGTCACGGGACAACTAGTGAGAAACAGTCATGAACCAAGCACTGAATGGTCACAGGGAGGCAGATACTTGCCGTCCCGGAGATGGAAAACCAGGTCACTGGAGCGTCCTGGAATCCGGCAGCCACAGAGAAGCTATAGGCCTGGGAGTCTGATTCGCCCTGGAGGATATGCTGCTACCAACTGCTTTGTTTCTTGGGGGAGGCCAGGGGAGAAGGGAAGGCACAGGAACTTGACCTGTGGGAAGAGACGAAGGCTATCCAGCAAAAACGAAACAAACGAAAAAATAAACCAGCATCAACCTCATCTACCTGCTGAATATAATCATGGTGAAATGGGAAAAAAACAGGGGAAAAGATAAACACTCTGACCTCTTACCTCCTATGAATCTTGATTTAAAGTCCAGAGGAAGTGCCAATGTGACACATAAATAATAAAAAATATTTATATAATTTTGTATAAATCTGAGCTCCTTGTCTACCAAAATTGAAGAAGAAATTTGAGGATAAAAGGAGAGGTTTAGGAGAGTGATTATAAGAAATAAGAAGAAGAAAAAGCTCTTGGTGGATACCCACCAAGAGGGGAAGAAATCCAACATGCATTTTTTGTCTTGGCCTTATATAGATAGGCAGAGCATGGGGTCTTGTTTCAAAGGAGACAGTTGAAAAATGTTTAAAAAAAAGAAGCTGGTTATCTTGCATTTCTAATGTTTTCTCTGATGTGAGGTAGAAAAGAACTGTCAACTAACTTAGCATACCTCCTTCCTGGGAGGAAAGGTCTTCACCTCCCTTTTTATTGTAGCTTTTGTCTTTCTTCTTGTGCTTATCTTTGTGTGTTTAAGCTTGCCTTAGCTGCTTGGATTAGCTCTTAACCTAAGTGGGCTATTCTATTTTTTTTTATCTGACCCTATTGAGAAAGGGGTGCTTTTATAATTAAAAATATTAAAAAATCGGGAAACACTGCCATTTACATCAATATGGATAAGCCCAGAGAATATTATATTAAGTAAAATAAACCAGACACAGAAGGAAAAATACTGCATAGTATTACTTGAATATGAAGTTTCAAATGGGCAAACTCTTAGAATCAGAAAATAGAATGGTGGCTGCCAGGGTACTGGTGAGAGAGAGAAATGAGATGTTGGGCAGAAGGAACAAAGTATAAGCTATGCAAGATGATGAAATTATGCTGATGTAAAGCGATTATAATTAACAATGTAATACACTTGCTAAAAGAGTAGATCTGAAATGATCTCATCACTATACATCTGCCCCAAAGGAAAACCAAATGATAACTAAGTACGGTGAAGTGATGGGAATGTTACTTAGCTTGATTATGGTGATTATTTCACAATATACATGTACATCAAAATGTCTAGTTGTACACCTTAAATATGTACAATTTGTATCTTTCAATTTTAACTTGATAACACTGGAGAGAAAACGTAGAGAAAGAAAGAGACTAGGGAGATCGGAAAGGCCTGGGAGACTTGGGTCAGCCATGTGTGCAGGGAACGAGGCCATGGATGGGCCCAGGGCTGCGTGCTCTGCTGCACATGACTGGTGAGAGCTCATGTGTGGACCCTGGTGGTCTAACAGGCGCTGATCAGTTCCACCTCCAGCCTGGCCTTCTGGAGAGGATAAAGCAAGCAACGAGTCTGGAAGATGCTATAAGAATGCCAGGCATCTGCTCTAAATCTAGGGAAGACAGAGATTCTTGTGATCTGAGGTTTGTTTATTCTTTCCTTGAAGTTAATGCCAAGAATCTAAGTGAGTAAAATGGCCCTAAATACTTCTCTTCATTTGGACTATTCTCCCATTCATAGGTGCATATACCTATCAGAAGGAAAAGGTTCAACTCTGAGCCTCAGTAACTTCATTTTTGAAATTCCCACTTGGATTCCATTGGTAGTAACTGAACTGATTAAGTGTTCTGTTCTCAGGATTTTGAGAGTTGTATTGTATTAATAAATTTGTTCCAAAACCTAAGGCAAAACTCACCATAACTAAGAGAAAATTTCAAGTATCAAGATAACTTATTAAGTATCAAGGCATTTTTGCTAAATTGCCTGAAACCAGAAATTACAACCTTATTCCATTGTTTTTAAATGAAGATGAATAATTTGAAAAACACTAATTTAGAATTTTTTTATTTTAGACTTTGGATTTGCAGATAATGTAGACAAGTAAGTGTTTTTTTAAAATTTTACTTTTATTAGCTTATTTCATAATGGACTTGTTCCTTAAATTATCACTGCTTTCTAAAATAGATTTTAATTAATTACAAAATGAGTAGCTCTTTAATAGACGAGGAAATGGCTATGCTTTTCTGTAATAAATGAGTTCCAGCTATGTATTTATATTTGACATGTTTAAGGTTTTTATATAATAATTATAACTCAAGTGTCAAGGTGATTTAATGCATAAAGAAACTCGGTAATTATTAGCTGTCCCAAGTGAGGGACTTTGTTTATTTTTCCTCTAAATATATTCAGTGGAAGCAATTATTATGTAGATTAATATTTTATACTCACTAAAATTTGCATTTCAAAAGCAAACACTTCATTAACTATGGGAGATATTTCAAAATCATGAATATTGATGAATTTAAAAATAATTTTCATTGTTGCATTTTCAGCATTTTCTTTGATTTACTGAAAATACTATCATGTAAATTTACAAAATATGATATAAATAACTTTATAATAAAATGTAATTAATATGCATAATAGCTAAAGTATTTTAATTATCTCATTTAACGTCATTTCCAAAAGTATGTGCATGAGTGTAAGACTAAAGCTATTAACAGCAGATCCCCAAATATATCCAGATACTCTATTTTAGACATAAACCCTATATACAATAAAAATACTGTCACTTAGCCTGAAAGTCATTTGTCGGTAGAGTCTACAAAGTATTTGATAGTGCCACTGTACTACAAACAACACAGAAAATATGGCATTTATTTATTTAAATAAAAATTCAGGTTGATCAACTTATTTTTTTCTGACATAACTGCTGCCCTCACAGAACTGTATTTGATGACCCAGAAGATGCTGTTTTCGTAAGGTCCTTGAAGAGATCAGTGATGACTCTGACCTCCATGTACTGGGACACAGTTCCCACTCAAGAGGAGAAGTACCTTCAGGAGGAAGGCACGGAAACGGCTCAGATGCTCACAGTTACACTGAGATAACCCCTGGCATTCCTGGCGTTCGGTTGTATATTAAACTTCCCTGTGACTTAGCATATTATGCACTTATTTTGCTATGGTTTGAGTCTTTTAAACATTCATAGAAACATTAATAATAAAAATATTACTGTAGTGTAGGCTTTATAAGGTTTCCATTGAAATTGAACATGTATATAGAAATGTATGCAGATCGTACGCATTCAACTTTACACATTTTCAAAACCTAGACAGGGTCATCTGTTCATGACCAAGAAACAGAACATTAGCAGCGCTCATTCCTGTTACTGGGCACTGCCCTTCCAAAACAATCACTGTCATGATTCTAGACAATAAAGCAATCATGTCTAATGGTAAAAGGCATCATAGAATAGGTGAATATTTTATGTCTGGCTTGTTTCACTCAATATTGTAAGATTTATCCATGTTCTTGCTCATAGCAATAATTCTGTCATTCTCAGTGCTGTATAGTATTCTCCAATTTATATTTACTCAGAGTAGTTATTGTTTTTGCTTGCCTCTGGAGACAGTTGTCAGTTCTGGGTGTGGACTAGTGATTTATACTTGGCCTACCCAGACATGGATGCCAGGGGAAAAAGGAAACTAGATAAGATTTTGGCAATTACCTGGTTCCAAGGGAAAAACAGACATTTAAGGTAACTGAAACTCCTTGCTGGTCCGAACTACAGGGCTGGGTTCAATGCTTACACAAGGCAAGAGTGACTTTGCACAAAGCCCAGACACACTGTAAAAGTGGGACTGACTTCCAAATAGGCAAGAGAGGAAAGCTTAGAAAGCATAAAGCATAGTTAATCAACACCAAGAATCAGTATCCTCCTTTCACCTGTGGCACTTAGGACCCCATACACAGCCAGTCTAAAACCTCAGGTATGGCCCCTGGCAGGAAGCTGTGTTAGGGTAATGAAAAAGCAATGATCTGTGCATTTACGTGAGGTGCCTGAGATCAAGCCAGTGACTGAGTGGAGTGTAAGATTAGGTGATAGAAGAAGTCAAAACATTCCTTCCTCTGCATCCTGGATCCCTAACTTTGCCATTTAGTAACCACACTCAAGCAATCCTATTGAGAGAGCTGTTTATTCTGGGGGCTTCGTGTCAACTGCTGGTTAAACTTCAGACAGGTGAGTGCAGCCGTCTGAAAGCTCCCCTGTGCTCTCCAGCCAAAGAAACCCCGTACCAGCACCACTAGGTTAAGCTGCTCCTCAATTTCTGGGTTGCAGAAACTGAATAAGGCTTATTGATTTTCATTAATAACTTTGAAGGAGATTTGTTTTACTTCCACAATCACTGAAAAGAATGACAAATTTGCTGATTTGAAAAACTGTCTAAAAAATTTTACTTCTGTATTTTACAGAACTAATGGAAACATGCCCCACTTGCATGAAGAAAAAGATTTGTGTTAAAGTGCGTTCTTCAGTACTGGATGTTTTTATTCAATAATGAATGAGTGACTATGACTGGAAAACATTATATTAAATATAATTTCAGGGGAAATAAACTAGAAGATATGACCCATAAGTTACCTACAACTCTTCAATATTTTGAGATAAACCATTTATTGAGAGGGTGTTTAAAATTATGTTCTTTGCTTTAAATGACAGAGATGCACTCATATTGGCTCAAGTGAAAGCATATTTATTTCAGGACCCAATGGAAGGTCTCATGCCTAGAAAACAAAATCCTAATATACAGAGGTATACAAGGTTTGGCTAAAGTCTGGGGTTCTGGAATCAGACAAACCTAGCTTACCTCTTATTACCTCTATTAGTTGTTACTAAAAGTTAACCACTGTGGCTTCAATTTCCTCTTATTAAATAATAGTAGTGACCTCACAGAAGTCTCAAGGATTAAGATAATGTATATAAAGTGCAAGGTAGAGTAGCTTTCTTAAAGTAAGTATTCGATATATTTTAGCTATTACATATATCATATCCTAAAGTAACTGCGCCCCTTGGGGACTGTACTTGCTATGTGGACCGAATGTTGAGGTCCTGTCCATATTCACATATTAAAATCTAATTCCTACTTGAGATCCGTGGGAGGTAACTGGGTCATGAGAATAGGGTCCTCTCTTATAGGATCAGCCCCTTTTACGAGCCCAGAGAGCCAGTTTATCTCCTTCAATGTGAGGACACAATCAATGGTCCTCCATAACTTGGGAAGAGGTCCCTCACTAGGAACCCAATCCTCCGGCACCCGCATCTTGGACTTCTGGGCCCCAGAACCGAGATGTATTTGTGGTGTAAACCTAATGTATGATCATGTGTAACAGTAAATCAAACTGATCAAAACACCTGATGGATTAGGGTTTACCAGAGAAACAGAACTCATAGCTATATGCATGGAAATACAGATTTATTTTTAAAGAATTGGCTCGTGTCATTATGTGGACTGGTGACTTCCATTTTGGGGCAGGCTACATTCTTCCGTCTTGCTGATTCTTATCTTCCTTACACTCAGCCACCTCTCTCCAAGCCCCATACATACTCTTTCTCACACACTCTGTCTCCCTGTGAGAAAATTCAGTATTAAGAGTGACCTGAGGAAGAATTCAATGAGTGACTTCATTTGAACTAATCCATTACGCTGACTCCCATGACAAAATAAATTTATTCATCAAAGTACCTCTTCTATATAGTGAGAAGCGTCCACCTTTAGGTATTAAGAGTCTTCCCAGGCCTCCTTCTCCCACACACGTGTTTTTTACCCGAGTTCTCTGGTTTGTAATGATCTTGCGTGTCTGTGTCACCAGCATGCTTCTCCTTTTGCTCATCCTGTTCTCTGCCACACAGGGTGCTGGGCTCTGGTAAGCTGGCTAGGGTCCCTAGGATCCGGGACATTTGGTGAGATCTCTGGAAGTTCTTTTTTCCCTTATATATTCCAGTTCTGGAAATGGAATAACCAGCAACATGGAAACACTAACATCTATGGACAACAAAAAGTCCCAGAATGGCCTGCCAGTCTGCTAGCCTCCATGTGGCTTTTAAGATCAAGATTGCAACATCAACTAATACCTGAATGTGATCAGTAAAGTCAAGTGAAAATGCTAGTCATTCTGACTTGCGACTGTAGATATTAAAATAATATTTACTTTCTTTGCCATTATTTGCGGTTTCCCTTTATTTGTTACATTCTCTTATATGTGTCACCTCCTAACAACAAATTACGAAACAAGATGAGTTGTTTATATTAGGTGAGTTATTTAAAAATCAATATAAGAAAAAAATCAATACAAGAAACACTGAAACACAGCATAATCTTCAGACATCACACTCAAGCTCTGTTTAAATACCACATATGCTAAAAACAAGGCAGGACATTCTCAAAATGACAGTTATAAATTACAGTTTCTGGATAGGAAGAGTCCCATAAAAAGCTTGCAGGATGATAAAACCCTTTCAGGTAGAGTATGGCGCAGTTTCATAAGAATTGTATATATAGTACGTATAGCCGGTATTTAATAAAAATGTTCAAGAGTGCACATGCGGGGACAGACCTAGCTATGATATACCTTAGTTCCTTCCATGGGAGCTGACATTTCTCAAAGTACAAATACTCCAAGGAACTTCGCTGCAGGAACTACATAAAGTTCAGACTTCTCAGGACAATTTCTATATAAAACTACACTTAGCTGAAGCTATGGCAAAGATCTTTTTTAATACACACCCTATCTTCAATTCATTACATCTTAATAAGTAGAACTTCACTATTATAAATGCTATTATATACATTTTATTCACATGTAAGTTATGACTTTTTAAGGACTCATTTCTGTGGCCATAAAAATTTTTCTTTCCTGAAAAATCTCTTCTTTTTCCTATCTCTTCTTCTTGTCCTTTTGTTCCCTGGAGTCTGCATTTCTTTCTTTCAGGAGATTTGTTTTCCTTTGAGAACAATTGCTGGGGCATCAGCCTAGGAAAGGGAATAGAAATGTTTTTCCTGTATTTTGAAAGAAAACATTTTCCTTTAGAAATACTTGTCCAATTATAGAACAGAAATCAGTAGGAAATCAGGGCACAGTAGACAGAGCTTTGCTTGAAAGCCTCTATTCTATGAAATGCGCAACCCCACCGTGGTGCCATGCAGGTGTCTCGAGGCAATGAGGACACAGTCACATGCGTTCTCCAGGTGCCTGCCAGGGTGAGGACCATGCATGCTGGCATTTGCTGAGCTTCTACTCCTCAGACACCTGTGGGCCTGCAGGAGCATCCTGTCCACTTTCCAACGTAGCTTCACTTCCAGGAGACTCTTTCTCCCCTTCTACAGCATCTTTAGGACTGGAATCCTCTTGGGAGACACGCATTTCAGCCTCTGGTTGCTCTTCATTAGCACAATTAGAGTTCACATCTGATTTGACATCTGATAAAGAGAAAAAAAAGCAGGTATTTTATTCTTACAATGTCCCAGACACTCTTATGTTTCATGTGTATTAACTAATTAAATTCTGCATCACATAAGGTGGATGATTATCATCAGTTTTGCAAATGGGGAAAATGAGAAGAGAAGTGTGTGATTCCTTGCTCCAAGTTTCACAACTTGTGAAACAGCAAAAATGAGTGCTGAACTCAGGACTTAGGCCTTTGGTCCAAAGCCAGTCCTCTAAATCGAGACCATTGTTCGGGACTTGAAAACAATCTGTGTTTGAATACAGTTCTCCTTTCAATTAGCCTGGTGTCCTTGTGTAGGTAACTGCCTGTATTGTTTCCTTACCTGTATTACCTACAAAATGCCATCTGTAGTAGAGTCTGCCCTACATTTTGAAGAAAGGAAATGAACGGTGTTTGTAATGTTTAGGATATTGTGTGGTATGTCGCTGGGAGTTCCCATTTTGACAGTTCTATTCTTTTTTTCATCCTTATGTTGGTCACCCCAGTGCTTTCTTGGTCTCCAGAAAATATTCAGTTCCTATGTGCTCAGTGTTAATATCATCTATCCCTCCAGGGCAAAAGGACGTACAAGCTCTAGCTGGATCTCTGGTTGCCTTCTCCCCATCCTAAGTGGGTAGAACTATATACATACCATTCTCCTCTTGAGTCTTTTCTTTGGCAGCCTCCAACTGTTGCTTCTCATAAACATCCTTCAGATTCTTACAGATTTTCTTATGTGCAAACCAGTGTGTTTTTTGGCAAGTTTGATCACAATATATTACCTGAAAGTAATCATAAGTTTATTTTCATTTCAAGAGCTTTAGTTGCAAATTTGCCAACTCTGAGAGTAAGCCAAGAATAATGTTATAAAAATATTAAGATTTCCATTATTGGATGAATATTGAGCCACACTCTCAAGTGACATAAATAGGACACACAGGTGTAAATATCGAATAGTTTCTCTGATGTGAGAAACTGAAAGTGTAAATCAGGATTAAAATGATTAAAATGAATAATTGATAATTTGAAATAGGAAGAAAAGGTCCAAAGGGGTAGGGGAAGTGAAAGGGGAAGGGAAAAGAAAAAAGGGAAAGGAAAAATTATGAGAAAAGGAAAAAATGGAAACAAAGTCTATGTAAATGGGGAAGGGAGTGAAGAGGGTGAAGGGAGGACAGGAAATGGGGGGAAAAAATAAGAACCAAGATGCATCATGTACAGGTACAAGTTCCCAATGATAAATGTAAACGTACTGTATACCTAAAATGTACCAATAGAAGAATTTAAGGAAAAAAAAGATTTCCATTATTTATAAACCATGATGTATGGTTGTATACTGATTTGGATTTTCAAGTTTTAGCTTATACTTCAAATCAGTAATAGATATATAACAAAACAGTCTACCAAGGACTCTAAGAAATGCCTTAGACTCTCTTAGGTACCGGAATTGGATCAGTAGGATGACAAGGAAGACAGAGCTGTCCTCTAGGAAACAAACGTGAAGAAAGACTAGGATGGGATAGAATGGAGGGAGGCAGATGTCTGACAACATGCCTTATTTATTTGCTTTGCAGCACTGGGAATTGAACCCAGGGACTCATGTATGCTAGGCAAGTCCTCTACCACTGAGCCATATCTTTAGCCCTTTTTATGTTTTATTATAAGACAGAGTCTCACTAAGTTACACAGGCTGGTCTTGAACTTGGAAGCCTCCCAATTAGTTGGGATTACAGGAAGGCACTACTGCACCTAGCTAACAGTGTGGCTGATTATGAGTACAAATGTTAGCATACTATGGATAGGATTTAGGAGCAATGGGCAAATGCGAGGAAACAGTGACTCACTTTAGCTGAGGGAGTCAGAATAGGCAGAGAAATGGGAACAAAGCATTCTAGATAGAGGGAACATCTTAAACAAAACATAGGAATAGAAAAGTGAATGATATGTACAAGAAGAACAATAAGTTTTTATAATAAATGAGTTTATATTTTTGCAAGTGGATGTGGTAAAGAGATGGGAATAAAACTCCTTAAACACATGCCAAGACCTGGGCTAGGTTACAGGTTTTATTACTGGCTCTAAGTCTTCACTCATTGATGTGTTCACATTTGCCATGTGAATTCAGTGTTTTGCACTGAAGAGACCTGACTTTGGATTTGGCCACCTGACTTGTGATACCAACAGGACGAGATGGCATGGGTGGTTTCATAGCGAGGCCTCAAGTTCCCCTGTGCGTTTCTAGCTGCTGATTTGTACCTCTGCCACTGTCATGAGAACACACTCAGCTGCCCCACTGCCTGAGCTGAGGCCAGCCAAGCACAAATGGTGAAAGAGTAAGAGACTATTTTCAGCACAGGTCTGACAGTGTTTCCACATGCAGCAGTAGTTAACCAACAAAGATGTTCTCATTTAGTTCTCACAACTCCAGCCCAATTTCCCACAGGAGGAAACTGAGGTCCAGAGAAGTGAGAAATGAAAAGGGATAATGCTGCAAAAGTACATTATGGCAGACTGAGATGGGTTACATTCAACATGTTGAAGAATTTCAACCTTAAAATCAATAGGAGATTAATGCTACCTGTGGAATTAAGTGCATGTACAGATACAGGCATGTGTGCAGTATCTGGACATGAGAAGATGAACACAATCATATATGCCTTTTATAAAAATAATTCTGGCAGAGAGGGCAGTGTATTCTCTCAGAAATAGAGTTTAGTGCCATTCAAAGTTATAGTCTTAAAAGGCAGAGCTGATGAGACTGTAGTTAACTAAATTCAACATCAAAAGAACTGACTGTATACCTATGAATTGTCCTAAACTACATTTTCCTATCCAGCCCAGTTGCAGTACTTTTGCTCTCTAATCTCCGTTGTTTTCTCATATTTATCAAATACCATTTCTTCTTGTAGACATAAACTGGGTTCTATGGCTTAGATGTAAAATCCCCCCCACCCAACATCTCATATGTGGAAGGTGACTGGATCATGGGGCATCACACTCAGCAGTGGATTCATCTACTGCTAAGTTTAGTAACTGAATGTGCTGTTAGAAGGTGGGGCCTAGTTAGAGGTGTGTCACTGGGGGCATGACTTGAATGTGCATATTCTTGGCCCTGGCTCCTCCCCCCTCTTCTTCCTGGGCCACATGATGAACAGCTTTCCTCTGCCATGCCATTCTGCCATGTCATTTCTGCCTTGGAGCTGCCAGCCATGGACTGAATACACAGTAACTGTGAGGCAAAATAAACCTCCCCTCCTTTAAGTTGTGGGTGTTGGGTATTTTGTCCCAGCAATAGGAAAGTGACTAATTCACTGAGAGTCTGGCAGAATCACAGAACTACATTTATTCTACTGTTCTTTTAAGTTACTTTTTTAGTATTAGATGCAATACTTTCATGTATTACAATTTATTTAAAAATCTAATATCCACTTTATGTTTACAGAATATCACTACTCGATTGTCAGCTTGCATGCAATCTTAACCAGGTGTCAGTGAAAAACGAACTCCATTCTTACCATTTTGCATACTGAACATCTTTTACTTGCTCCCTTTTCTCCACAGGTGGTACAAAATTCAACATCCACAAACCCCACCTGCCCAGTGATGGCCTGGGTCAGTACAGAGAATGCAGTGGGATCTGAACCCTAGAGTGGGCGAGAAGACGAGAAAAAAACCCCTCTGAAATCACCATGGAAGACTACAGAGATGTCATCCAGTGTACATAATGTTGTCTAAAAACAGTAAAATAATCTGAGAATTGACATCAAGACAATATTCATGTAGTTGTGGGACAATTATACAGCATATCAAAAGGATTTTACTAACAATTTGTAGAAGTTTGGTGCAATTTAAGTGTTTTAAAAACCATATATTTAAAATTATTTATTAGATATTGGTCTACAATTCAAATAGTTAAATTATCACCTTTATCACTGAAATTTTAACACACATTTAAATTGCATCAAAGGGCCGGGGATTTAGCTTAGTGGTTCCAGCGCCTGCCTTGCAAGTGTAAGGTCCCGAGTTTGATCCCTGGTACCAAAAAACAAATTAAAAAAAAAACAAAAACATTTAAATTGCATCAAAGTATTAAGAAAAGCCAACAATGTGAAAACTATTATTATATGGCCTTTGAAATGAGAGTAAGTTACTAAAGAGGATTTATAAAATTTTTATGAAGAAAGTTATAAGGGAAAATATATAGCTGCCTGAGGCAGTGCTATTTAAAGTACTATTTAATCTAGAGTAAGCAAAAATACTTATGGAATATCTATTTTCCTTACCTACTCTTAACAGTTCTTTGTACCAAGTTTTTCAAATTTACACATTCATTCACAAACAAAATTTTGCCACTTTTCAAATTTTCATTTTCATTTGTCTTTGCTTCTTTTTCCTAAGAATGCTTAGTTTTACCTTTTTCCTAAGAATGCTTATTTTATTATCTTACCAACTGTAGATAATAGAAAATATCATGTGGGAACAGTGTTCTACACTATTCTATAAACCCAAAGTAGTCAAAGAAAAAACTCAAAAGATACAAGAAGTAAAATTCATTTTAAAATTCTCAGGCTCCTGAATACATGTGATAGTGACAATAATGTTAACTTTTCATATGAAAGTGCTTAGGGACTCTTTTTTAGACTGACTATAATGCACTGATGAAGAAAGTGAGGTGCAGTGAAGACAGATAGCAGAGGTTACAATCATTTCATCAGGAATGAAGGTCTACAGCAGTTGTGCTCAGAGAACTTGCTAAAAACTCAAATCCAACCCTTCAGCCCATACCTTTTAAAGTGGAATATTTAAGGGAGTAGATCAGATTGCACAGTTACCAACATTCTCAGGCAATTCCAAGACATATTAAATGTTTGAGAATTACTGGTACTTCATATTACATTAAATGCTCATAAATCTGATTTATTGCTTCAAAAGTAGTACACTGGATCAGACAGGAGTCTGGCCAATCAATCAATAGAATATGATACATCCAACAGATAGCACAACAATTATATTCTCATATTCAAACATTTTTCACAGAATTGCCTGAGACATGTTTAAAATCTTTCCCAATACGGGGTGTTTGTGGGAGAGTCATGCAACGCACTGATATTTTCTTCAGTGTTGGGGAGAGAAGCCAAGGCCTCCCTTGTGCTAAGCAAGTACTCAACCACTTAGCTACACCCCAGCCCTGAAGCTGAAACTAAAGGATATTTTGTAGGACCACAATGTTCGTGTGAACTCTCGCTTCCTTAGCAGTGGTACAAACAAGTATCCACACAGAATCCTCTTTGTCCCTGTTGTGTGATAAGAACTTTCTTGTTATACCGTCAGAATGTTTCAATGTCACAGCTCCTTCTCACGGAAAGATACTCAGTCTGGAAACAAACAGAATGCTTTATTCAGTGTATGCTGTGAAATCAGGAAAATGAGCCACTCTCCTAAAACTCCAAATGTATGCTGTCAGCGGATAAAGCAAAACATCTTGAACAGCATATTCCACTACAATGCAGTATTTTTCTTGAACTCATCCTTTATCACACTTCCTGTTGAGCTTTGAGACAGTCCGAAGCTAGAGTCCCACACCAGACAGAGACAATCAAAACCTGCACACCTAGGTGAAGGCATCAGTACCCTCAGGAAGCAGCAGAGCAGACCCTCACAGCAGGTGGGCCTGAGAACTTTGTGTTACGCAAAAAGCAGCATACTTCAGAGGCCTAAAAACCTATAGTGCACAAAAACTTCTAGGCAGCAAACAGGGGCCAACCCGGATACTCAACTACAAGCACTCAAGGTGTTCTCCAGAGAGTACAATGTATAACTCTTAATGAACAGAATTTTTTAAAGAGAAGTCTTTCTAAACCTTATCACATACTATCTTAACTTTATTATAAGCCTTGTCTTGATGACTTGATCACTAAGATAAACATTAATCATCACACCCTATAAACTTTACCATTATTCTATCATATGGAGCTAAGATGAATTGCTCACCCCTACAATGACCTGCTTTGACTGTTTCTGAGAACTCCAGGCTGCTATTTTTAGTTCTTCTGTTTTCTCCCACGAAGGTGGCACATGAGCTACCACTTGTGAGTGCTGGAAAACGCCAGAGCAGGCCCTGCTAGCTGCTTCTCTAATAGCCACCCCACTTCCTCACTAACAGAAGCATAATTTCTTTCAGAGCAGCAGTGAATAAATAAGCCAAAAACACTCATTTTACCAGGTCCCGTGTGGCTGAGAGTGGTCAGCTGACACAGAACAGAGCAGGTCTGCAAGAGCTTTTATTTTCTAGGTAGAGACCCCTTTGTTCTTGCCTGCACGGAATGGGCAGATGAGCCTAGGTCGTCAAGTGCCTGCAACCACGTTGTCACAAGCTAGACTATGAAAACCTACATGGCAAAGGAATCCTGGGTGAAAAGATGGGAAAATGTAATGATCCCTAATCCAGTCTGAAACATTATGCCAGACCTGATCCGTCTACTTTTGTGTGTTTGGGTATATGTTGAATATATAGACCCTTATCTATTTAATTGACAGTTGGAGTTTGATATGTGTAGTCAAACCACATTTGTAGTTGACAAATCACTCATATTTTGCTACTTCCTACATAGGGAAATACTGTTTACTAAGGTGAGAGCTACAAAAATGTAAGAGGCTCAAGAGAGGAGCAATGGACAGGAAGAAACAGGCTCAGCAGGTAATTCTATCCCCACTTTCTTCCGAAATATTTTCTGAATACAAAACTCAAAGAGAACTTGTCTGTAACAACACAATGTACGGTAATTAAGTTTCACTGATAGAGTTAACTTAAGAGGAGCCTTACAATTTCAACAGGAGCAATGCTTCGTACCAGCTGCTGGAGGAGCGTGGCTTCACAGTAAGGAAATTTTCTGATACTTTCTCTAATGATCTTTTCTTGATATACTGGAAAGCCATCAGAAGCTCGGCCTTTTAACAAGCTGAAAGATATTTTTAATGAGCAATTGAAGTTGACTCTCTAGGAACTTCCTCCTAGCTAAACCCAACAGCTTTTAGGAGTTTCTTTTTTGTTACTTAAGATTTTTTTCATTGAGTCTTCAAATAATGATGATGACTCAATCCAAAATGCTGTTCAAACTGAACATTAGGTTAGGCCTTATCAGGTTTCCAGGCCCTGGGATACACAGGCAAAGGTTGACCCCCACCATGAAAGGCTAAATGCTGTTATCGGATTAACTAGTTACTTATTACCATTTCTGTTATGTGTAGGAAGAATGAAAAGTCTCATTGGGTCCACACCCTTTTAATTTAGTTCCTTTTTCTCAGTAAGCTACAGAGAATTTGATTTCTGTTGGTCACAGGACAAGGCTTACATACAACTCTCCCAGGTACCATAAGAGAGCTCCATTAATGGTTTTATGAATCCGAACAGCAACCTGCATCATGGCACACTTAATCTCCTTTCTGGCCTGTGGCCACTTTCCAGCTTTGTGATCTTACACATGCTAGTTAACCTCTCCAAACCTCAAGATTCCTCCTGCATAAATCAGTGATAACAACTCAAAATCATTACAGAAAGTACAAACTGAGTAACAACTCCATCTAAGTATAATGTTGTCCCTTGATTCTTGCACACTACATGTGATCCCAACAACATCAACTGCTGCTACAATGCTTTATTTTTAAATCCATAACTAGGCATAATATAATAAAATATTGTCCACTTTAGTGTACTGTGTACTTGACACAGTAAAAGCAGTACCTTTTGATCAGGGCATCCAGTTTATTCTCTCCGTCTTTTAAGAAGTTGATGCATTTCTGAAAGATACAGCTAATATAATGCATTTTCAGAGCCAAGACTTCATTCATGTCTCTTTGTTTCATACATTTCTCACAAATCAGATCCATCACCTTGTAGCATTTATTCAGGGCAGCTTCTTCTGCCAGCAGAGGATTCTCATTTACAAGCAGCACAATCTAAAAGAAAGTCCAGTAAACTTACGTTTTGCATTAGAGACTTTTACATGTACAAATTAGGTAGTTGGTTTAGTTGATTTCAAGAGATTACCATATACTTATTGTTCTAATTCAAATTAGAAGACACTTCCACTGGATCAAAGTTATGAAACTAATACAGATGAACCCTGATTCAAGAAATTTCTTGCTATCAAAGTTAAATGTGATCCATCTAAATAGGGTGCTTGCTACAAGGCTTTATTGTCTGTACTAAAGAAAACTGTGGCATGTGTGCACAGCCTTTACATATGAATTAAATACCGAGCACCTTTTCATTGACATTATTAAGCTCTCTAATTTCATGGCTAAGTGAACTACTATTCTCATTAATTCTTAATAATTATAAGAAAATGAGATTTTTTTACAAAAAGAAGTCTAGAAATAAAATGTGTTTTACTTTCCAGTTAACTACCTTTCTCTGTGGAAATTTTCTTGAAGATGCTTCCAGTGACCTATAGTAATGGTGAGTATAGGTCAACAAGAAACCATGAATAGTCTTAGAAAGGGAAATAGTAGACAGTTACCAAATCTCACACAGTGCAAGTCCCACATGTCCTATGAATGCACAGGTTAAGCTTGAATTTAGTGTAATGAGGATTTTTTTACTGGCTTTGGGATAGGGTAGATTACTTGAAGTTGGTCTTCACAGGACTGTCACAGAAGTCCCTCATGCCATGAAAGTATTATAAACGTGTGTGACATGGGCACAACAGTACACTCGGGGCAGTCAGTACTCCCTAACCTTCGTGCTGGGTTACAGCTAAGTACCTGCCCGGGACTGCAAATATCAGGAAATGGGTAGGGGACTACATGAATTACATTCTTCTCTTTAGGCACAAAGAAAGATCTGTTAGCTGAAGTAAAACCCATCCCTGGACTCCTACTTGGAAATGTAACATAGAATGGCTGTCCATCAAAAATTAAGAGGATTCTCACTTATTATTGACACTGTTAGATTTACACATGAAATCTTTCTAAAAATCTACCACATAATGATTTAAGAAACTCGAAATAAATAAGTAATCAACAAATTCACTAATAAGGATTCTGATTATATTTCCCCAACAAAAACATACCAAAAATCATTTTGTGGCAGAGAAGACTCATTAATTATCTCTTATACTTCTGTTAACTGAAACAATTTAAAGTTGGTCAATATTTTTATGTAAGGCATTTATAATCACAGTATAAATTCTTATAAGTGAGAATTTTTTTTAAAAAAAAATCTCAAATAGAATTCAGATTAATGATTTCTTTTTGTCTTGAGATACTAGACCTTATTTATTTTATAATATAAGGCAAATATTTACAAGCATTACTGAGTTTACTGAAGTATATACCTAGCTGCACACAAGGACTATTTGTACTGGTTTTCTTCCTTTCATCTCTGCAGAATTATGAAGTAATATAAAAGAAATCCTTATTAAATATCAAAGAGAATATATTGCTTCTGCCATCAAAACTATATGAATCTTCTCTCTTAAAGAACTGCTACCTTAAAAAAAGTTCACACAGTAGCATTTTGAATTCTTATTTTTTATATCTTTTTTTATTGGTGCTATAGGTCAAACCCAGGGTCTCATGCATGCTAAACAAATAGTCTACCACTAAGCTATAACTCTAGTCCCAAATCCCATTGCAGCATTTAAATTGCTAAATCAACAATTCTGAGCTTGAAAATTGTCTTAATAATCAAAGACAAGATTACTCTGTGTATACCTGTCTTCTTTCTACTCAGGCTCAGATCTGCTGCCATTCTCCCCCCACCCCCCCAGGATTCTGTTTTTCTCCTAGATAACCTTTATTTTCTGGGCATCAACATAATTCCCAAGTCCCTTTTGAAAACAAACACATTGTTATTGCTATAGCAGCCACTGAACCTAGACACAAATGCAGCTATGTTAGATGCCAGCTAGTGAAAAGGAGAGTTGTATACTGGGTTGAATCTTTGTACTTATTTTAAAAGGTGTTTCACTTTAGACAGGGTCTATTTGTTACTATTTTAAAATAATATTCCCTATAAAGAACCACGCTAGCTTGAAAAAGGGTAGAGCAATGGAAATGGGCCATCACAAAAGCAACTGGGCAGCTTTTATTTCCAAAGACTGGATAAAAGAAAGTGTTTTAAGTAAACAAAATGACCTTTGCAATTTATTGCCTGTTTAAATATGTCCTTAATCTAATTTACTTAAAATATATGCCTTTGAAGATAACTAAGGATGGAATAATTCTTAGGATATTGTACCCTGAGAGACTGGGTTCCATAGAACCATCAAAAATTATTCCAGAAACTTACTGCAGTCTGAAGGCATAGTGAGGTAGAATCAGAAAAATGAAAAGAACTTTTTCAAATCAAATTTAAACTAGAATATCCTTCAATGCTCAGGCCAAGGTGGAACGAGGGTCTTTTAACCCACACACATTCTCTGCACCATGCTGGACCCTGATGAAAAGCCTATGTCCTGTCTTTCAGCCCAGCCTGGCCCAAGCCCAGGCGCCATGGGTAAGCAGCCCCTGGGACTCCTCAGAGCCCTCAGGTCCCCATGTGCACTGGGAGGGTGAGAACTAAATATTCTGAAAGGTAAATTTAAGTCTATTTCGTTCAGATTTTTTTCTTCATCTCTTTGTTGCTGTTTATAACATGACTGATCCCCCCAAAAAACAGCAGTGAAGCTCTTGAAGCTCTTGAAGCTCTCGGGACAGCTCTTTAGTTTCCTTTAAGCAACTGGAATTTATGTGTTGGTCTGAAAGTTTGATGGTGTCATCCCACTAACTCCTTACGAAAACTGTGTCACATAAAGGCATCAGAGCCATTTGTTAGAAATGTGCTCATGATCACAGGTCGGAGTATTTCCCAGAAGGCTCACGCTTCCAGCAGACGCTGACAGTGGCCCACTCAGCTTCCCTACACCAGGCCTGCACACCAGGCCCCAGCAGCTCACGCAGAGTGCTGGCTGCTGTGGGCTCAGGGTGGCCTCCTTCTCCACAGAACTGTCTTCATTCCAAGGGGGCCACCTCACTGCACCACCTCAGAGAAAGAGACCTTGACCAACAACCAATGGATGGATACGGAAGCCTGACTCCCTCGCCTCTCAGCCAGCCCCACTCCAGCGCGGCCTGTGGATGAGGGCTGGCTGGGCCAGGCCTATTCTCCTGCTCCTCCGCGTTTCCCTCGCTGTTCCCCAGGTTTTGGCTGGGAGCTCCCCTTCAGTGACCCCTTCAACGAACAAGAGAGAGCTCTACAAACTCTATGTCTACAAAATACAACCCAAGACAACCATGACACAGAGTAAAAGCGGTTCAAACTCCAAAGCAATACTGAAACAAAAGGCAAGTGTGACAAACACTGCACTACCTTGACAGGATGAAGATTTGTGGTGGTGATGATTTTGTGCAGTGGGCCAGCCAACTTCAAGGGCAGCTTGGGGTCTTTATCCAGTCCCTGAGGCTTCGTGTAATAATCCAGTCTCTCTCGAGGGAAGAAATTGTTGATTATTGTCACACAATCATGTTGACCTTTCAGTAGAAAAATAGAAAAGTAGTTTTATTGTTAACAAGAAACTGTCTGGATTTTTTTATTATGTTGCTATTTTCATGTGAATTAAATAGGCAAATAATGTCTTTATTCTTCAGAAAAGAGGAACAGAGGATGAGGATGAGAGTTAAAGAACACTGATAACCATTTTAAACTAAAAGAATCGTCTTTTAAGGACACACATTCTAGCCAGATGTGATGGTGCAGGCCTGTAATCGCAGGACTCTGGGAGGCTGAGGCAGGTGGACTGCAAGTTCAAGCCCAGGCTGAGCAATTTAGCAACACAAAGAAATGCTGTTACAAAATAAGAAATTTAAAAAGGGATCAGAATGTAGCACAATGAGAAGGCCCTGGTTTAATCCTCAGTACCACACACACATCACAGAATACATTAATACATATGAAGAATATGTAGATTAAAAAAAAACCTTGTTCAAATTATAATGGACCCCAAAAGTATTTTATAAGAATTGATTATAATTTGTCTCTTCTTCCCCCTCTATAAAAATCATAACCGTGTTAAATCACAGCCAGGTATAATCACACATAATTTAAATATACACTATGTAAATAGCTTTATTATAATTACTATTAATATTTTTAAATATTCCCCTCTCCCTGAATTTGAGAAAAGCTTGGCTGTTCTGTGAAATGAAGTATAGAAAAATCTCTGGCTCCTTAAGCTTGAAATCTGGGTGAGGGTGTGAGGGCTTCTCACTCACCTCTTGGCCGCTGCTCTGGGCCCTCTCCCATGTTGGGATGGTTTAGTGGGAGACCCCTCCCTTGCGCAGGTGTGGCCTGGTGCCTTGGCAGTGGCTCTGCTGCGACCCCTCCCAAGCTCTCCCTCCGCCCAGTCTGCAGCCAGGAGGAGGCCACCCTGGCCAGCAGGCAGGATGTGCAGGGAGCATACCTGGGCCCTTCAAAGCCCTTCGGAGACTGCTTCCTCTCTGCCTGCCTGGGGGCAAGGGACCAGAGATGCTCTCACTCCGAGACCCGTCCACCACGCTGGGCAGCCCACAAGGCCCCACCCCATGTGCACATGATGCAGGGCGTGCCCCCTCTACCCTGGGGACAACAGGTGACCTGCAGGGGCATGGCTCGGTGGCCAGCTGCACCCTGGCCCGAGGCTGGCAGAGGGCTCTGCCTGCCCCAGAGGTCCTGGGAACACAGGTGGGGGGGCAGTTCCCCTGTGACTCAGCTGGCTGGGTGTTCCTGGGCCCATAGGTCAGAGACCACAGCACCTCCCTGTGCTGCTCCACCACCCTGGGCTTCACCTGGCTGCCTAGGAGAGAGAGTTCCCTGGGGATCCATGCAGAGCCTCCAACAGTGACTACAGCAAAAAAAAAAAAAAGCCCTCCAAGAACCAAACAGAAAGAGCCGGGTATGGATCATGAGTTTCAGTCCAGCACAGCCTGGACTTTATAGCTAGACTGTGAAGGCCCTAAATTCAATCCCCACTACCAGGGAAGGGGAAAAAAACCCACAGAAAGATTCAAACTTTAAAAATGAATAAACAAATGTTAAGAGGTAATTCTGTTTACTACTGAGAACTCAATTAGGTAATTGTAGATCAAGTGGACAAACTATCCCAAAGCAGAGAATAATTCAGAGAGAGAAGTCATTATGATAGAGATGCTGAAGAAATCCAAAAATCTAAATATATATAAAGCATATGAATATACATAAATATGTATGAATATATAAATGTATATGAATGCATAAGTATATATTAATACATGTAAATTTATATTTATATATATATCTATATAGATATAGATATAGATATAGATATATCCTAGAAATGGCATGGATTAAACAAATGAAAGAAGTATCTCCGATTTGAAAAGAGAATTTAGTAGTAATCACTGTATTTCAGGCATTCGATGCTACTGTTAATTAAGTACCACAACACCTGATTTTTTCTTTTTTTAGAGGAGGAGCAGTGGGTCGGTCCTCCCCCCAAAAGAGCATCAATCTATATTAAAATCTGAAATAAATCAAGTTGAGCTGTTTAGAAAATGATCATAACTGCCTTGAACAAATCTAATTGCTTTCAAGTGGGTTATGAACATGGAAGCATCAAAATCACACAGGTATTTGTGTGTGCAAATTTACAACTGTACATGAATTAATTCCATTAGCCCACTTACAAGTTCACCTGAAAGGGCAATTAGGAGGTGAAGCCCCTCTGGAGGAAGTAGATCCTGGCATTTGAAAGGTGTCTCTTCTTCCCAGCCATTCCCTCTCTCCCTCCCTAGCTCTTTCTCTTTCTCTGCTTTCTGGCTGCCATGGGATGAACAGTTCTCCTCCACATGCCCTTCCACCATGATGTTTCTGTCAGGCAGCCAGGTGACCGTGGACTAAATCCTCTGAAATAGTAAGCCAAAATAAACCCTTCCTCCTTTAAGTTACGTGGAGTATTTGTCACAGTGATAGAAAGTTGAAAAACACAGCAGCCTACTCATCTGAGAAGGTCCTGCAACCAAAGCCTAAATGAGGTCAGAGATCTCAGGAGTGAGAGGAGAAAGAGAACAGTGGAGGGTCACAGAATGACTAAGAAATCATACTGTTGACAGGATTATTGGAAGCAAAGCAACATGCTGTCAATGACATTCTAATAACAATGGTACTAAAAATATAAAGTTCACAGTTAGAAATGTGACTGGCTTTGAGGTAGTGGAAGAAGCAGAAGGAAAAAACAAACAAACTTGTAGCCTGAGAAGGCAAAAACAAGAGGAAGTAGAAAAATCAGCTATGAGGGTTCCATCTTCTCATGGATTGCTAAACAGACAGTGCCTTGGGGACTGGGGTTGAGGTACAGATCTGACCAAGCAAATCACATTAACACACACACACACACACACACACACAAACATGACTGAGGAAAAATAAACACTGCAACTGAGTATATGAGTAATTATATTAAGTATGCATAATCTAAATACCTGCTAAAAGAGACTATCATTTGGCTTATAAAACAAAATTCAGGGCCGGGGATTTAGCTCAGTGGTTTCGCCGCCTGCTGCACAAGTGCAATGACCCGAGTTCAATCCCCGGTACCAAAAAGAACAAAAAAACCCCCAAAATTCACCTATATGTTTATAAGTTACACTACTGAAATGATGAAGATTAAAAGAAAGAGGTGGGCAAAAGAGGGTTTTTTTGCATTTATAACATTTTTTAAAAAAAAGACTGACTACATTTTTTTTGGTACCAGGGATCGAACTCGGGACCTTATGCTTGTGAGCTAACTTCCCGGCCCCTGATTGCATTTTTTAAATGACAAAAATCTTGGACATGTGTGTACATACTATGCATATACTGATCCACTTGATGGAAACAAACAGGAAGAATGACTCTTTTAAGAGACTAATCATAAGGGCCAGGGATTTAGCTCAGTGGTGCCACTGCCTGCCTCACAAGCGCAAGGTCCTGAGTTCAATCCCCAGTATCGAAAAATAAATAAATAAATAAAAGGCTAATTATATGGAAAATATAATTTCAACTGGAAGGTTGCAATGTAATTTTCCATCTATGAAATTAGTCTAAATACTTTAAAATATAACAAAAACATTACTTTTATTTTAGAATGGGACATTTTAGAATGTGATCATTTTCTGCCTTAGATTTCTGTTGATATTGTAAAAGAAAAGAGCAGCATGTTCACTGAACAAGCCCTTTCAGGCCGGGGATTTAGCTCAGTGGTTCCGCTGCCTGCCTCCTCGTAAGCTCAAGGTCCCGAGTTCAATCCCCAGTACCAAAAAAAGGAAAAAGCCCTTTCATTTCCAGAACTGTGACTTTAGGGAAGTTATACCTGAGATCCATTTTGTTTTATCATAGACATAACAGAAAACTGTAAAGTTAAGTAAACTTTTGGAGCTCACTTAATTCCCTGGCTTTATTGCATAGAGAACAAAAAACTAAGGCCCATGAAAGTGAGGGAATTTTCTCACAATCCTAATTAGGAGGCAACACAAACTAAAATACAAACCTCCAAATTCCTAGTTTACAGCTCTTTTCCCACTGCACTGACACCCTCAAAGGAACTTACAAGTTGGTCGGGGGCAACTGTGAGGTCCCTAAATGGGAGATAAAATATTTTTTCTTAAGCACAGCAAGGCCATTCATTTTTCAAATACTCCTGAAATGAAATAAAATGAAAAGAAAATACAACAAGAACATCTGTTTTCATAAAGCTGACTGAGCATCGGGCTACATCAATGGTAGCTACTATCAGTTTCAAGAAATTTTAATAATAAAATTTAAAATGATGTACAGTTACCACTGTGTGTACTTGGCTATTTCCCACTGTATCTCTAATTTCTCTCAAAAACCAGGTGGAACAGGAGAGAAGATTCCCTCTTCTCCCTTACACTTTCACCCTGCTTGTTGCTGTTATTGGCCTCTAAATGCCATTAAAGCTTGAACAACATCTTCTTCACCACTGTAACCAACTGACCTAGAGTGAGACTTGGTATATAGGTTGTGAACAATAAGAAATTGTTTAATAAATTATTGGTCCCTGCAAGGACATTTATTGTACTTCCAATAAATCAGATGTTTCTATCTTTTCTTTTTTCCTCTTTGGTTTATTGAGACAGGGTCTTGCTACATAGTACAGGCTCATCTTGAACTCAACTACGTAGTCCAGGCTGGCCTCAGAGCAATCCTCCTGCCTCAGGCTCTCAAGTTCTGGGATTATACGCATCTGGCAGTCTATCCTTGCTTTCCCATCAGAGGACTCTCTAAACTGCCAGTTCAATGAGTTTAAATTACCAACGATCAAGTGTTCACTCTCATTCTCGCCTACACTCCTATATTATGTCAATGGGATTCAGATGCCAAGAATTATTAGTCACACAAAATAAATGTTTGTGGTTGATAAATATGATAATGAAGCAACTGAATATTATTATCAAATGTACCTTCTAAGAGAGAATCGGGTCACTGTTGCAATTATTATAAATGACAGTAACTGACTTTGTGTTTACTGCTATATATAAAGCCCTTTAAGTCTATCATCTCTTTTAAACCTTGACACAATCTTATAATCATTTTACAGTGAGGAAACTGAAGGTAAGAATCATGAAGTAGCTTGCTATTAAGTGGCACAGCTAGAATTTCCACTCCAGATTGCTGACTCAACGGTTCATGTTCTTAAACGTTAGGCTAATCTACTTGCATCAGAGAGAGAAAATACTCTTCAAAGCACAACTACAATTAAAATGGCCCTTCCAGTCTTTCAATCTCCCAGAATGGAAATTCAAAATAGCTATTCATATTTTCTACAGTGTCACTAGGTATTTTATTACATTATTCAGTGTGGATTGTACCTGCTTATTTTTTAAAAAATAAATGTGACAGTATTTGCAACCTGAGAAGTAAAGTAGTATTTTTTTTTTTCAGAAAGACTGAAAAAACTCTAATGTAAAACTACAGCAAAAGCTCACCCACGAAGGCTGCCATCTGAGCCGCTGTTCTTCCTACAGAGTTGACAACATCTGTCTCTGCCCCAGCTTCCAACATTGCCCAGGTGATGTCTTTATTACCTGGAGTTAAGGGAATAGATTTGTCAATATTGAGGAATGCACAATTTAAACACCTCCTTCAAATTACTGACACCCCACACAATTACTTGTAGGTCTTTCATATGAATATTTTCATTTTTTTCCAAACTAGAATCATAATCACATTAAAAAGAAAAATGCAGGCTGGGGATTTAGCTCAGTGGTTCCACCACCTGCTTCACAAGTGTAAGGTCCCGAGTTTGATCCCCGGTACTAAAAAAAAAAAAAAAAAAAGTGACAGAACCTACTGTACTTAAAAATCCTATCTTCAGACAAACACGTGGCTCATGCCTATAATCCAGCACTCTGGAAGGCTGGGGCAGGAGGACCACAACTTTGAGCCTAGCCTGAACAATTTAGCAAGATCCTGTCTCAAAATAAAAAATTAAAAGGGTGGGTAGTAGTGTGGGGTATAGGGATATAGCTCAGTGGTAAATCCCTAGTTTCACTCTGCACTACTGGACATGAACTTATTTCTGGAAAACAAATCAGGCAATATTAAAATGGTATAGAATTGAGTATCGCTTTTTAAAAGAAAAATGTTTTCTTAATGATGATGCTTAGTATAAAACCAAAACAAACATACAAAAATAGCAAAGAAACAAAGACAGAAGAGAAAAATCTGAATGAAGTCTTCTTTTAACATCCACTAACATTTCATCCCTCACACCCGCAGGCTGTGAATAACTGTGAATCACTGGGGACCTGTCCTTAAACAAGCTTTTTCTCTCTCAATCTCCAGTTATTCTAGTCACACTCCATCACTGATGAAATCACTGCAGATATTCTGCTATTATAAACTGCATTTAGTGAACAGGATTGTCCATTTAGTTTTGCAAGTTTGAAGCAACAGCTCCTAGAAATCATACCTGGGTTGAAGGCCATGCGTATTTTAAATGCGCTGTGCCTAGCAAGGCTGAACTGAAATCCATTCCCAAAACAGTCCAAAAGAGTTCCTAGGCACTGTCATTTTCTTAACCTCTGCCAATAAAATCAGTGTAAATGATAATTTATTGTACTAATTTACTTTTGATTATGGCTGAAAGTGGTTTATACGTTGATCAGCCAGTTATATTATTTGTTCTCTGTTTAATTTTCTATAGCAGTACTTGTCTTCTAATTTTGTAAAGGAATTTTTTATATATAGCAATATGACCCAATATGACATGCAATAAATATTTTCCTTCATTTCTCATTTGTATTTTAACTCTGTTTACGGTGTATCCCATATATGACAAGGTTAAAATTGTAGGTAAGCAACTGGGTCAGTGTTTTGGATTCTGTATTTTATATATAATGCTCAGAAATGCTTGTGTTCCAGGGTTATAAAAATATAGGTTATTCTTTTAAAATCTGATTGCTATATTATGGCTATATTTTCTGAAAGAACTACAATAATCACAGATAACCCTATGAAATCTTAGACAGCATTTCTCAAGTAATAAAGATGAGTAGGAGTAAGTTTCTAAATATACGATCATACTAAGTACATAAATTCCAGTGAGATAAACAGCTCTATCACACCAGCTGTTTGATCAAGAGAACAATGGAGTGTTCAGATTATCTCAAAATCTAAAGACAAAACATCAAAGAAACTACTTGAAAGAATAATAGATTCAGCTCCTCTATTCTACCAAAACATATTATCCACATAAAGAACTAATTGACTTAAGTCACTAAAGAAACATCACCACATTAACTATAAAATTATTCCATATATTGTTCCTTTGAAAAAAACAACTCTCAACCAGAAGTGGCAAATGCCTATGATCACAGCACTTGAGGGGCTGAGGCAGGAGGACTGCCATGAGCTCAAGACCAGCCTGGGCTACACAGTGAGTTTAAGGCCAGCCTGGACTACACAGCGAGACCCTGTCTCAAAAAACGAAAATAAACCCCACTAATTCTCACCATTTCCATAAAACTTTTTAAATTACTAAAATAAAAATGTGTTTAACTTAAAAAATATATGTTCTTTAGTTTGTATAAGTAACTAATATGAACAAAGTAAAGCTAAAACATCACCGGAAAGTGCAGCAAACATTAGGGCTGTATATCCATGTTCATGTTGGTGACAATTCACATCGGCTCCGTGTCGTAAAAGCAATTTACACATGTCAAGTTTCCCTTTATATGCCGCATGCATTAGAGGAGTCATTCCATTCTAACAGAAAAAAAGGAAAAAATATATTGATTTTACCCATTTATCTTTTCCTTACCTATGAACATAAACACAAATTAATAAAAACCAACTTCACAGTCTGTATTTTTATATTCACCGCCCCCTCCCTGCCCCAATGCTTCATAGACTTCTAAGGAAAAGAGATGGGGGGCCGGGGATTTAGCTCAGTGGTTTTGCTGCCTGCTGCGCAAGCACGAGGACCACCTGAGTTCGATCCCTGGTACAAAAAAAAGAAAAAAAAAGAAGAGAGATGGTTACTTATTTATTTTTGGTATCTACACTCGAACTTGGGGCCTCATGCTAGGCACTGTGCTGCTGAGCTATATCCCTGGCCCAAAGAGATGGTTTTATTACCTGAAGGATTTTTACCAATTACAGAAAAAATATTACACATTACAGATTACACATCAGAGACTAGGAAATTAGTGGGTCAGAACCCAGACTTTCCCAGGTTTTAATCTCTACCAAATATATTTAGCTCCTGGGGAAAGAAATGAACAAACAGATACAAACTCAGAAAAAAAAAAAAAAAAAAACCTCAAATAAACAAAATGCCTATCAAGAGGAAAGCTGAGTGAAGAATAGTATATCCATAGTAGGGGACATTATAAAGCTTAAACAAACGAATTCATTTAAAGTAGAAAATTTTCTATAAATCATTGCCAATGAAAAAACGAAGACACAGGAAATGTTTATTATAGTGGTATCTTTTTTAAAAAACAATATCCTCAAAACTATATGTATATTTTGATGACAGTATATACATGATTATATATTTATGATTCTCTAACTATGGAGAAATAGTTGATAGTATACACACTAGGCTGTACTGTTTGCTCTCCATATATTTCATGTATAACAATGAAACATCCAACTTACTATGTGCTGGGCACCATAGAATATTTGGCAGATAAATGAATGAGATGTTTCCTTAAGTGAGCCAGTAACCCTGGCTCAACTTTGTTAAGTGCTTACAGTCAAAGTTGTTTATGATGAAAACCTCCCTAAAACACATAATCCCTTACTTTTATAAATTTTAGAATGAATGCTAGCAAAATTTAAATAATTGGTGATCCCAGACTATCATTATTAATATTAAGCAATCATCTTGTTAACACAATGCCATACTATTCTTAAAGGGTTGCTGACATGAGAATTATAGGGAGGTTTGGATCTTTCAGGTGAGGAGGAGCAACAATAGGAGATTATAACCTTAAAACCCTCAGCTGGGCATTTCTAGGCGAATGGGACATTTATTATGTCGGAAGTGGGTGGGTTAGCGGCAGTAATCAGAATCCCATTGTACACAGGAGTGCTTTAGGGAGAAGGAACGGACCTCTGGGTCAGTGGGTTTTGAATGAGGCAAAACAGATGGAGGGAATGGGGTGGCATCCTGATGGGCAAGGTAACCTGTACATAAGAGGACAGTATATAGAATTGGTGGTGATAGGGCAAAGAATTACAGGAAAAGCCACCAGAAAAAAAGCAACCAGCTATTTCTCTCACACATTTCCAGAAGCCGACCTGAGTCAAGGAGTATTTTCTGTTCAGGCTGCCCTAAACGGGTGGGCAGCCAACTATCTAGCAATCCCATCCTGCAACTGCAGGTTATCCAGCTCTCAGAATGAATACTCCAGAAACTGCACAAGTGTTCTGTTGTTTGAAAACAAAAAACCAAAAAGGCCCTCAAGATAATGTGACAATCTGCTTAGAAGCAAAGGGTCAACCTCTGTGCAAAGCTTTGGGATCTTACAGTGCAAACTGCACCTGTTTTCTCGTCTGCTTGGACTGTGTTAATCACTTCTGTCCTTTACCTGTCTGTCTCTGTTTGCCTTTGTTTACCACTACTGCTTTGACCTAGTTTTAAAATTTCCGCCCCCTCCCTCTTTCTTCCTTTTTTCTCTTTTGTTCTTCCTCATTTACCAGCAGGGATTGCATTTTAGAGTCAGCTAATGAGAGCACTTCTTTCCAAAAGGGTGAAGAGTTATCTAAGTTACATCATTTGCTGTGCAGTTTCGGGACCCACTGTTTTGTCATTTTTCTCAGCAATCTCAGCGCTGTGCTGGGCATTCCTGCATAGTAGAAACCAATCTTTTGGTAAGTAACACGTGTAGGCAGGTTTTTCAAAGAACTGGATATCACACATACTTTTTTTTTCACTCTAATTTATTCTGTGCAGTTTAAAGTATAAGTTAAAACCTACAAACCATAGACACTTTAGACACAGTACCAACCAATTCTAAAAACAATGAATGATCATTGGTGCACATTCCTCATCTTTAATTTTACATCTTTGTTACACAAAGGTACTATGAACACACAGTTCTAATTCCTTACAAACTTACTGTCAAGCAGTAAGAGTACAACACATCACAGGACAGCACAGAATGCTTCCGTTAAGAAACCACGTCAGCAGTATTTGTTAAGAGGTTATTATGCACAAGCCGACTTGGAGGTAATGTTAAACATTCCTCATAACACATATAGTACGTGTATACAACAAATGGAATATGTAACTTTAATTAATATAAAATGTTACTCTTTATGATTCAAGTTTATAACTCTAGGCCACTTTAAAAGCAAACAATACAAAGTGCTTTGATTCTAGATTCCATAACTGAACATTATTCTTTTAGTTGCCTGAGAGTATAAGTTTGAGGACTGTTCACTGGCTTTTTGAAGTCAACTTCAGATATAAAAGCACTTAGTTTACTGGCCAAAATCTAGATCACTGATTATATGTTACATAAAATATACTTTTTAAGAAAAACTGATTTTAAAAAAGACTATCATTGATGTACAATAACTTCAAAAATTGTTATTAAGAGGGAAAATGTACTACTCTAAAATCTTTCAACATGTTTTAAGAGGCTATATTTTATGAATTCATTACTTTATATATTCTAAAGTTTAGCAAAATATTTTGAAATGGTTCTCAAACCTAGTAACATGTTAAAGAAATGGGTCAGCATATCTGTCTAACACACGTTTATTTCCACTATGAACAGCCATCAAGTGAGTTCTGTGTTTAATTTGATGTAAATATTTAAAACCTCATTTAACAGTGACAAAGAAATGCTTAGTGTTTTTGGCATTAACATGCAAATAATGCTCCCATACAGGCAATTTTCTCAAGAAGTTTCAGGGGCAAAAGATTTGGGGATGGCTAGGTGAGAAAGAAATGAGACAATCTACCTAAGTCCTCAGTTTTAGAATTAATCCTCGAAAAAATGGAATATTTGATCACCATCATTTTTGGGGAGCATTTGGGCAAGATTCTAACATTTATGCTTTTAACGTTCATAAGTTTTTAAACTTTAACATCAACCATAGGCTAGCCCACTTTCCACTGAAACTAAAAATGCTATTGATCACTCATCCTTTCTTATCTTAGTTTAATTTTGTGTTATAAAGATTTAGAACAGTGCAATGGAAGCTGTACATTTTGAGTGTAATGATTACTATAAATATTTTGGTTCCAGTACCACCTTTTATGGAAACATTTCAAAGGACCATGAGAAAAATGAAGTAATAATATTAATAAATTTTGATGTTCTATAGAGGTATAAAGCCACCCTACTATAAATTTTCTAATCTCTCTAGTATTCTTATAGTGTTTCAGTGTATCAGGAAAAGAAAATTAATAGTTTGAAACTGAACTGCTAATCTACTAGAAGAAGAGAATAGATTCATGTTTAAGTAAATTTGGTAAATGAAATTTAAAATGTTACATTCTAGTTATAAACGGCATAACAGTATCAGGAAGAAAATGAAAATATAGAATGCTCATCTCTGCTCAAAGTAGGCAAGTAGTGATAAAGTTTCATAAAATGTTATCACAGTATAGAATTCATACATTTCTAAGAAACATTTCATTTTTATATTTAACATTGCTGAAACTGAGTTTCAGTTTCCAAGTACTAGAATCCAGTAAATTACAATAATAAATCTAATAAATTACACTCAGTTGACATCCTTTTCATTTTTTAATATCTCTGAAATCTAAATGAGTCTTTATATCTATGGCATCTGAGTGCTAATAAAACATGAGGGTGAAAATTCCCACCTCCTTGTCATTTCTCAAAAACAAACTGAGAAATTTGTTCAGCTGAATTGTATGATAAAAGAGCTTCTGCAATTCTTTCTTTCTCAGGGATCAAACTCAGGACCTTGTGCTTACAAGGCAGGCGAGGTGTCATTGAGCTAAATCCCCAGTCTGCAATTCTTTAAGTGCAATAACCTTAAAAATATTTATCTTCTATAATTTTTGGGGGGGGGTACTGGGGATCGAACTCCAGACCTTGCACTTGCATGGCAGGCACTGAAACCACTGAGCTAAATCCCTGGCCCTATCTTCTATAATTCTTAAGTTAAAGCGTCCATCAATATTAGGTGATTATGTTGCAATTCCTTATTAAATACATCACTTACTTATTCAGCAACTATTTATAGAGCATCTAATATACCCCAGACCCAGATCTGTACACTGCGGTAGCAATAAACAAATTCCACGCCCATACATTCTAAGTCCCTGGCACTTAAATTTTAGATGTTATGGTTTGAATCTTAAATGTCCCTCAAACCCCATATGCAAAAGGCTTGGCCACTTGGCTGTGGTCCTACTGGAAGATGACGGAGCTTTAGGAGGTGAGGCCTAGCACGAGAAATTAGGTCATCAAGGATGTGTGCTGAGAGGGGGTAGTGGGCCCTGGCTTTTCCCTTCTTCCTGCTTTCGTGTGGCCAAGAGGTGAACAGCCCTGCTCCTAGTTCTCTCCCACCAGGAGGGGGACTGAGTCCTCAGAAACGCTGCACCAAAATGAATCTTTCCTCCTCTCAGTGGCTTTTCTCAGGTATTTTGTCACGGCAAGAGAAAGCTGGCTAATACAGTAGGAAAACATGGCGGTTAGTGATCCAAGAGCTAGGAGGAAATAACAGAGTAGGGGAATCAGGCAGCGCTAGAGGGAAAGACTTCTTAGAATACATTCAAGGAACGTCCAGCTGAACAAAGGCCTGTGGGGAGGTATAAACAAGCAGAGAAAGCATGGCCCACCTAGAGGGGATGCAGGTGCAGAACTTTTGGGGACAGAGGCATCTGCACTGTGCTGAGGACCCACTGGAAAGGCCAAGTCTGTCCACAGCCACTCAGCATCTCCAGGAACACCTGAGAAGTTCCTTGTCTCCATCCTGGGGCTTTTTTAAAAAAACACTAATGTTTGTGGAAGTTTTCTACCAACTTTTTATCAAGTTACAGAAAGAATCATTCTATCCTTATTTCTTTCTTTGAAGTTTTTTAAAAAAAATAATCAATGGTTATTAAATTTTTGCAGACATTATGGCATCTGTCAAGATGATCATATTTATTTCTCTTTTATTCTGTAATACAGTGGATCACATTGAAACATTTTCTAGAACTGAACCATTGAAAAAACCTGGTTGTGCCATCTTGTAACGTTTGGATATACTACTGCATCCACTTGCTAACATTTCATTTAGTACATTTAGAAACATTTTTATAAAATGAAATGGGTCTCAAGCTTTTGCGGGGGGGAGTCTTTTTTCTTTGTGGCGTTGGCCTTACACAAGCTTTATCAAATGAGCTAACTACATCCTGTCCTTTTATAATTTGCATGAAATGAGAATGAACTGATGTTTAAAGTTTCATAAAGCTTACTCAGGTTTTCAAATTTTAAGGGGATAAATATTTTAAAAGGTTCACACAAACCTTCCTAATTATTCTACTATTTTACTGTTTTATTTTTCTACAAAGTTCATGTGGATGTTCAAATGTATTGGTTAAGAAAGAGATGACAATCCTCTTTATTTTTTCCCCTTATTAGTACATGTTTGCAGTACATAATGATTACACTTACGGTGGGGAGTTTGTACATGTATGTAACATATCTGAATTCTTTTCATCCCTTCCCATTCCTCCTTGCTCCATCTAACTACTGGTACCTTTCTCATCTGCAAAAGCTCTACTGCCATTTTTTTCCAATTTTCTTTTTTTAAAAAATCATTTTCCCTTCCTCTCCCCATCTCGCTCCCCTTCTCATTTGAAAATGATCTCCTTACTTCCTATTGTCTTTTATTTTGCTCTTCATTTGTATTTTGTATTTCTCGTAAAGAGAAACCATGTGGTACATAAAGTGTGTGTGTTTTACTTAACAAGTCTAAGGTGCAAACATTTACCTATGAATGCCTCAAGTTTATCCTTTATGGCAGACTAGTACCCCACTGTGTATAAATACATTTTCTTTTTCCATTCATCTGTTGATGGGCATATAGGCTGTTTCCAAGATATAGCTACTATAAATTGTGCTGCTATAAACATGGGTATGCATGCATGACTGTAATATAGTGACTTCAATTCTTCCAGGAAGATATCTGGAAGGAATAGCTGGGTAAAATGGAATTTCCATTTTTAGTTTTTTTGAGGCATTGCCACACTGATTTCCATAGTGGCTGTACTAGTTGACATTCCCACCAGCATTGCAGAATTCCCTTTTTCCCTAAAGCCTTGCCAACATTTATTATTTGATTACTCGATGCTAGACATTTCTGGAGTAAGATGACATCTTGATGATGTCTTAATTTGCATTTCTCTAATGGCCAGTGATGTTCGTGTATTTACTGGTCATTTGTACTTCTTCTTCTGAGAAGTGTCTATTCATTTCAGTTGAACATTTTTGATTGATCTTTTATATTGGAGGGGGTCTAATTTTTTTGAGTTCTTCATACACTCTAGATGTTAGCCCTCTGAGGAACAGCTGACAAATTTTTTTCCCATTCTGTAGGCTCTCTTCACTCTGTTGTTTCCTTTGTTGTGCAGACTTTTTAATTTGATATGATTTCATTTGTTGATTCTTGGCATTATTTCTGGTGCCACTGGAATGCTGTTCAAAAAGTCCTTGTCTACACATATGATGTGACAAATCCCTTTATAACTGCAGTTATGTTTTTTCTTTCTTGCTTTAGGTTTATATACTCACTAAGTTACTTCTGTCCCTATGGATCTGAAGGTACATTCATGTTGTACCAAGTATCAGTAATTAATTCCTTCTTATGACTGAACATCCTACTGTATAAATGTCACATTTTGTTTATCCAGTTTACAGCTGGTGGACATCTGGGATGTTTCCCAGCTCTAGCTATTATGAATGATGCTGTTATAAATACACATGTGCAAGAGATTTTTTGGATATGTTTTTACTGCTCTTAAATACAGACCTAGGATTGCTGGTCTTAATCATTTGAAGAACTGCTAGGCTATATTCCAAAATGGCTATACCATTTTACAGTCCCACCAGCATAGAAGAGCTCAATTTTTTCACATTTTCATTAAAAATTATAATTATCTACCTTTTTGAATATAGCTATCTTAAATAAGTGTGAAATGGTATTTCACTGTGGCTTTGATTTATGTTTCCCTGGTGGCTAATGATATTAGGCATTTTTTTCATGTGTATATTAACCATCTATGCATCTTCTTTGGAGTAACATCTACTCAGATACTTTGCCCATTTATAAATTGGGTCATATGTCTTTTTATCATTCAGTTGTATAAGTTTTTAATATGTTCTTTTGCTACAAGTTCCTCATCAGATATGATTTGTAAAATGTTTCTCCTGTCTGAATCATTTTCTTGATGGTACACTTGGAAAAACAAAAGCTTTTAATTTTGATGATTTCCAATTTATCTATTTTTTATTTTGTTGCTTATACTTGACTTAAAAAGTTTTTTTTATTGTTTTAATTTTTCTAAATCACTTCTTGTTTCTTTTTTAGTATATTTTACCCTTTTTATATAATTTCATGAGTTAGAAATCTTGAAAAACCAAAGATTGAAAATACAATGATAAATGATACAAAATTTCTTATAAATATTGCTTTTAGCCACTTAACATAGCTTTTGATAAACAGCAGCATTTGATACATATTGTATTTTCAGTTCTGCACAGTAGGCCATTTCTATTTCTTCAATAGCCTAAGAATTATTTAAACTAAAAAATCCCGAATATGTGTTTCATTTATTTTATATCTTTATGTGCAAATTCTCCATGGCATTTGATGGATTTGTTTCATATCAACTAAATTTTCCTTTATAAAATAGTACAATACATATAATCATAAAATAAAAGACCATATTTCACATATTTGACAGGAAAGGATATGATTGTGACTTGATCTGCACTTATTCGACTCCTAATAAGATTAGATGTGTTTTTAGATACTTAATTATCTTTTGTGACCTGCCTGCTGACATCTGATTTAGAGATATTAGTATAACTTGTGCACAAGTACTAGAAGACACTTTTTTTTTTTGGTACCGGGAATTGAACTCAGGTCCTTGAGCTCATGAGACAGGCACTAGAACCACTGAGCTAAATCTCCAGCCCTAGAAGACACATTTTACTGACATATTTTATATGTTATATATTCTCATAGGAAGTAAAATACTTTATTAATGTTCTTTTTTTACCTCATCCAAACAGTTGACACGAACATTCTTACTGGATAGTAGAGTTCCAGCTTCTTGGACAGTACCTAAGGGGAAAAGAAAAGATGAAACATAAGATTATTTATCACTGGAATAGGAAAAAAAATCTAACATCCAGGCAATAAACTTTAAAGGGTTATCTGAAACTAAGACCAATCAGGTCCAGTTGCTAAGAAAGCATCCAATCACACTATTTGTTTTACAAAGAAACTGTCCAGAGTAATAGATTTACAGTAACTAAAATAGTTCCATTTTGTTTTTACTCTCACTGACCTTAAATTATATTAAACTGGCCACATTTTCTTTTTGGCGGTAATAAAATAACCACAAAGAATAAGATGACATAACACTGAAACCAATCTAATCCAAATCAGCACCTAAAGCTGAAATTCCAGTCAATGTAAAACTTGGAATCCAAAACTGCAGTCGATATTTATATAATTTGTCAGCACCAGGTCTTGTAAATTGATGGCATGTTTATAACAGAAGCTTGGTTTGGACTTGCTTATGTGAAACATTTGTGAAGCCCGGCACTATAGAAAAATGTTCCATGGTCAGCATTCAGACCACTGTACTGAAAGTGAGCAGACTTAAACTTGAAGGTCAGTTCTCTGTAAATTTGGAAACAAGCTGTAATTGGGCCACAATTATCAGGTTTTTCCAGTTTTCTGAGAGGGATAATAGCAGAAGCAAGTGGTTGCAGGAGAGAATGTTGCTATTAGCATCATTAATACACGACAGCTACATGTTCTGCCAAATAATTTCTGGTTTGACTGGGAAGAGAACAATGAAATTGTATGTTCTCTGGGAGAAAGGAGATAATCCTCTCCTCTGAAGGAACATGAAAGAATAGGAGCAACCCCCACAAGGTTATCTCTTCCCTTTAGAATCATGGTTTGAGAATGACCAAAATTCTGCTCATTTTCCAGAGGGGAAGGCGGTGTGTAGAATTTAGATGAGCATGTTTGCTACTCCCTAAGCTGCTTCTGAGTCAAGCTGCCTCTGCGTTCCTCACCGACAGAGAAGGAACAGAAATGCCTCACCGCCAGTACAGAGACCCACCTCTGCTGGGAAAATGTCAAGAGGATGATCTACATGTCCCTGGAGGATGACAGCAGCTATATTTGTAAATAGTGCATTTTTCTGACCCTGAAGTCCATCTAAAAGCAATTGGTATCATTGATTGCATGGCCACAGAAGACAGGGGAGTGTAGCTCAGTGGTAGAGCTCATACCACCGGCTCCAAATCCTGAGTTCAATTCCCAGGGCTGCAGTAAAAAGCAGGGAGGGGAGCTTTCAATTCTGGGAATTCTGGGAAACTTTACCTATATCCATGACTTAGAGACTTTCTCAAATGGCTTTAGAGAAGAATTAAAACAGAACAAAAACTTCTGCATCCTACTCTCACTTGAGGACACTTCAGCTAAATCATATTCTCTGCTGAGAACTGAAGTGATTTTCTTTCTGTAGTTTATGCAGTGAAAAAAGAATATTATAGAGATTGTGAACATGTGGAAGCCTTTCACATGTTTGGGGGAAGATGAGGATCATAATCATAAACATTCAGCCCTCAGAGAACAGGTGGCCAATTCTGTAAAATGTTTGCCCAGTGGCCAAAAATCTAACCTGCCTGGTCAGAGAACTTACAAAAAAAAAAATGGGTCATGGTGTAATGCAGGAAAAAAAAAAAGGCTGTTTTCTCCTAATAAACTCTTACTCTGTACTTCATTTCTGACTCCAGATGTAGGGAGGCTTTTTCCCCCCATACACACCAAACAATTCTCCAGCGGACACCAGTACCAGAAAACAAAATGAAATGAAACGAAAAGTAAAGAAAAGAAAAGAAGAAGAGAAAAGAGTAATGCACCTAGCACCTTTACTGTTTAGGAGATTAGGGAGTTTAGGAGTTCTGTGATAGGAACCAGTGACAGACAGCTAATATATATATTTCTTATTTCACACAGACACACAGACACACAGACACACACACACACACACACACCACTCAATAGGTTAAAGTTAGCCTTTTGAAATGAAGGGGCCAGGATAAGAAAAATATCTGAAATAGTGTTTGCTGCTATAGAATGAAAGCAGATTTTGGAAAATATATAAGCAAAATTCCCCAAAAGGAAAAAATTTGTGATGGCTTCTAATTTGGTGATCCTAATTGAATGACATTAGGAAGAAGATAAAGATAGTCTAGCAAAGCAGAGGAATGTGAAACACATGGCCTACACAGAAGGATTTTCGCTTTTTGTCACTCCTTATTGTCCATAGTAGACGCCTAAACAGTATTTTGCAATTAAGTTTTAATTAAGTGTAATTAATTGCTTTATTCTGGGAAGGAACTGTGTTAAATCAGATTTAGCAAACTCAAGGTGGGGACACAAAAGTGTAGGAAAGGACTGTAATGAGTCAACATTTACCTTCAATGGAGACAATTACCAGATCTAAAGCAGTGAACGTAATATGAATGATTTGTTTCCCTTCTGAGAATTTCTCCAGTTGTTCAAAGAAGAAAACAACACAGCCTGCTTCATTCTGGTGGGACTGGTAAACCTGTCTGGATAAACCAGCATTTCAGCAGAGGGATGGTGCAATGATCTTCTCGCTATTACTGCTCTTTCTTCTTCCACACTGCAGCCCTCCCAGGACTGCTATGAACATCATCAAGATGCACCAAACCCTGTTTCCTCATGTACGGAACAAAGGTAGTGGGGTCCATCCCACAGGGTTCTGAGGACCAGGACCTGCTCTAATGTGGGACACTGTAAGCCTTCAGTGCATAGTAGACGTTCTTATTTTATATTCACAGCAGCACAATACAATTCCTTCTCACATTTCTGACACTTGGATTGAGACTACAGATCACTACTGAAGACAAGGAGATGTCGCCAAAACAAACACAAAGTGAGAAACAAACTTATGACTTTCTGCTTCTGGCATTCCATCACAAAGTGATGAGATTCAGGCATGTATGGACTTGTTTTTGCTTTGTGCAGTGCTGGGGATCAAACCCAGTGCCTCAAGCATGCTACAAAAGGGTTCTTCTACCACTGAGCTACACCCAAGCCCCCAGATATGTATGAACTTGAATAATTATCTAGCAGAATTCCCAAATATGAACACTTCAAGGGCTCTATATCCAAGTTACAGGTTGGCTGGTGAGCTGCTGTGATGTCAAATAAAATAATGTAAATTAAAAAATGTAAAACAGAACAAAATAATGTAAATAAAATAATGTAAAAATATTTAAGGTGCTTTAATTTTTAAAGAGGTATATATACACCAGTATAGTAACAGATGTAAAGCTATAAATATATTGCAGACTTCTAATTATAACATGGATTTCAAACAAGTGAATTTGTGTTAAGTTCCTTAACATTCTCCCCCTTTAGTTTCCTTGTCTATAAAGTGGGAATTGCCATTATTATTTATTGAAGCAACAAGTAACACAGTATTTTAACTGCTTTACTGCTACTAACGCTTTTGTCCTCACAATGTCGTAAGGTAGATACTATTATTCTTCCCATTTGTCACATTTGTCACAGGGAGAACTTCAGTTTCCCAAAAAGCAACTTATACAAGGCTACCTCACCAGTAAATCACTGAAGCAGGATTTCAACCCCGACGTCCATGGTCAATTACCCTTCTGTGCTGGATCTCATAATGTTAGAGTTGAAAAATAAGTTCTAGCTCATCAACATCAAATGCATTAACACATGCAAAGGGCTTAGAATTATGCGTGTCATAATGACATTCAACCAACATCAGTCATAGTTATCTTCTCACAACTCCTACTAACTTTTCTCGAGAGGGCAGTCATGTCCCATAGACCTTCATTTGAGAAGAATGTGTGGCACACTAAAGCCAACTCAGTTCTTTTTGCATTGGCCTGGGCCAATGAAAGTGATGAGAGAGGCAGCCTGGTGGCAATGCCAGGGATCACAGCACTCTTAAGAGGCTAAGGAGGAGATCAATTTCAAGTTCCAGCCCAGCCTGGCAACAGTGATAGAGACTCTGCCTCAAGTGTGTGTGGGGGGTGGTGGTGGTGGGGGGTGATATACTCAGTGCTGGGTTTGATCCCCAGGACCCTCAACACAGAAAAAGGAAAAGAAACTGCACTCATGCAACTTTATGCACAATGTGAGCCCTGAAGTATCATAGCACTAATGAGTAAATGCACATTAAGTGTTTTATATAATCTTCAGAATGAAAACTGGTGGTCATCTCAGACTGTATCCAAGAACTCCCCTCTGCCCTTTCAGAGACCTAATTTATAAAACTAGTGACTGGTTCTTCATTTCTAAGAGCACATGTAAAAGCTATGGTCTGTTTAAAAATCAGAGTTCTCACCTCTGGTGGGTTTTGAGTTAATCCTTTTTGTTTGTTTGTTTGGGTTTTTTTTTTTTTTTTTGCCTAGCACAGTAGCTGGCACACAGCTGGAACTCACAAATTCCTACAACAGAATCCCTATGCTACCAAAGGCAGGGAGAAATTACCCAGAGACGGGCAGAACACAAAGACGGCAGTGCCAAATAGGTCACTGAGCTCCTTGCAGTTCCAACAATAAAAACCCAACCCAAAGCTCCAAACAACACTTATCGTGATAAACCCAGCCGTGACAGACATAACTGTTCAGATCAGATGAAATGGGCTCAGCTCCTATGATCTATGTATTGAATTCAAACCCGACTTTTTTGTTTCTTTACATCTAGACTTTCTGTGCTGTGAACAATAAAGTTGCCCTATGCTATGGGATTCCAGATTTGCTCTTGGCTACTTAGAAAAGACTGGTGGCTGGCAAGCTTTGTGCTGCAATGTCAGGCCTGTCAGGGGGATGTGGCTTTCCTCCTTTCGAATCTGAAACCCTATGATCAAGCACGCAGTCCCACGCATTCTCTTCCCAGAGCAGGCGAAGCACGCGGTCACGCTGATGTCACCTGCCAGGTTAGTAACAGGATTTGCCAGGCAACTCCTCCGGGACAACCGCTCAGGGACTGAGCGCAAAACATGGCTTCGCGGCTCCCAGGCTACCGCCCCGTGCGGCGGAAGTAGGACACGCACTGGGAGAGAGGAAGAGAAACCACGATTCGGACTTCGGCGGTGCAGCACAGGCAGAAGGGTGGGTGTGGACGTCTCCCAGCTTTCCTCGCCTCCCTGCAAGCTCCTGCGGCGGCCAGGACCTCTGGACCCAAGCAAGCTAGGGGCGTCCTGAATGCGAAAATCTCGATGCACCCGGGCGAGGACGCGCCAGGGATCCAGCTCTTTGGGCCTCCGGAAGTCGAAACGGCCCTTCAGACACCCGCCTACGAGCCTGGCAGCACCAGGCCACTGTCGCCGAGCACCCGACGAGGAGTCCTACCGCACGCTCCGTGGCGCACACCGGGCGCGCTCTCCAGCACCAGAAGAGAGAGTGGGAATGCGGAGGTCTCCAAACGGCGCTCCAAGCCAGAGCCCCGAAACCTCCTCTCTCCTCCCTCCCAGGCCCCGCCCCTGCAATCGGTCCCGGACCGAAAGGAGAAACGCTTTTCCCGGCCCCAAAGGCCAACCCCGCAGCCCAGGCGCCCCCGGGCTCTGCCACGCCCCCGGCCAGGTGGGCAGTGCGCAGGTCGCAGCCCCGCAGCCTTACCTTTCCCGATGACTTCCAGCAGCTCCTTCTCCTCCGGGGCCAGCTCGCCTTTCTTTATGTGCACCATTGCTCCCGCCAGCTTGAAAGTTATTCTGTTTCTCTGGAAGTGTTAAAAAGGAAACGAGGTGTTTGTGCTAGGAACGTCAGCCGCACTGAGGAGACCTGGACGCTGAGTCGCAACTCGCGGAAGCGCCCGCTTCCTCCTCGCCTTCCTTCTCCTCCGCCGCCGCCGCCGCCGCCGCCGCCGCCGCCGCCGCCGCCTCCTGCTCGCTCCCGCGGGAGGCGGGCTGGGCGAGCTCCGGCGAGCCAAGGAGTGGGGAGGTCTAGATGGCTCGGAGGGCCCCACCCCACCCCCCGCGCATCATTGGCCGAACCGAGAGGATGAGCTGCAAGCGGCTGCAGCAAGAGCCCTCAATTGGAGCAGCCCCGGAGGGAAGAACCAAGTGGATAAAATTGGAGGGGGGAATCCAATTTTTTTCACACACTCCTCACCCCAATCCTGCCAGGAACAGATATTTAGAGACAAATAATATTAAATTTCCTCTCTCTGGAAGTTCTCTGTCCAGCAATGCCTTCCTGGAGCGTGCAGAGGCGCCCAGCCCTCACGGTGCCGCCCCCAAATCCCCGGGAGTGGCGCGGGCCGGACGGGGGCGGGCCGGGGGCGGGCGCCGTGCAGGAGGCGGAGCTGCGCCGGGTTCCGTGAGTCTATGTCAATGTGTCTGTCCTTCACTCCTCCATTGTCTGCCGCCGCCGCCGCTGCCGCCGCCGCCGCCGCCGCTCCGCCAGGAAGCACCGTAGCCCCCAGCTTCGCGCGTCGTCGCTACCTCCTCGGACAGGTAGGAAGCAGCGGAGTCCGGCAGGGGCCGCCGGGAGGGCTGCGGGAGGAAGCGTGTGCCTGCCGGGCGTCTCTTGGTCGAGGAGCTCTCGCTCAGCGCCGCCGTCCCCACGCGCGTGCGCCCGCGCCCCGGGCCGGAGACCCCGGCTCGCGTCTGCGCCCGGCGCGGGAGAGCGGGCGGCGGGCGGAGTGCGGAGGGTGCGCGTGGTCGCGGTCCTGTGTGTGGCGCCGCCAGATGTGGCCCAGGAGGCCGGCGCCCGGGCTGTGAGCGAGGGGAGCCAGGCGGCTCCGCCTCCGCCGCGAGGAGGGCGCACGGCGCAGGGGCCCCTGGAGGTGGCTCTGCGGCAGGCCTCGCTCTCCCCGCCACTTGTCACCTCCCCACGGCCTCTGGAAACCGTAGGAGAAAACCGGACCGGGTCGCCCCTCGGTGCCTCTGGAGGATGTCTGGAACTACACTTGGTTTAGGAGACAGCCTGGGGGAGGGCGCAGGAAGGCTTCTGAGCGCTGCCAGAGTTCCCACTCTCTTTGTAACTCAGATCTTGAGATTTATGGAATCAGAAAGGGAGGGAGGGAAGGGTGGAGATGAAATTTGTGTTGCTGTCTATATACAGCCTCAGATTAGCCTCTTAATTCAGCCTTCATTGAACTGTAATTTGTAGCCCAGAGCTTCGTGGGTAAATGGAAGAAGGGGGAAGGTGAATGCAAGTGGACACCCTTTCTGTGCCTCAGAAAGAAGACTTGTTTGCTAAAATATGTAGTCAGACATTCCTCCACGGTGCACATCCGTAAGCTGTTGCCTGCATCTGTGAAAGCTTCTGGAGAAATTACAGTTTACAGGTTTACTGGTGTTTCTCGACAGACTAGTGTTGATGTTTCTCCCAAGACTCATTTGTGTCAAAGAGAAATATTTGAATCATTATGTAGATGGTCTCTGTTAAGCATCCCCGGAAACACTCTCCCTTCTCCCAGTGCGTGTATAAAGTTAATGCATTTTCCTCTGGCCTTCCGCCCCTTCATTTTGCTTGAAGCGCTTTACTAACGCTTCTGAGATCCCTGGAAGATGTTTATTATTGCTTGCCTTTAACAAAAGTCTTTCCTGAACTCCAGCTGCCTCCTACCAAGGCTCCAGCTTTGAGGTGGGGGAAGAGTGGCAGATCTGAGCCCAAACATCTCACATGAAAATGGTTTGAAATTATTCATCTCAGTGTATGACAAAGAAACTTGTGTTTGGTAATGCTTTAATAATGATGGGTCTGTTCAAAGGAGTAGAATGGCTTTTAGGAGTGACCAATATTTTGTAACACTTAGAATACTGTTACTGCCACAGTTGCACTTGATTTATAATGTGTCATGCAAAAGGAACCCACAAAGCTAAGAAAATGCATGTGGAGTAACCTCAGCCTGTGATATCTTCCCAGCAGATGCACAGACAGAATTGGGTGTTTCACTGCAGAGTATTTCCATCTCTAGTGCCAAATCTGAGCCATGGTTACTTGAAGGTCACACCTGTTTGTCTCACTGGGGTTCTTCGAGGATAGCAACTTATTAACTATTTTCTTGTGCTTTGTGACACCTGGGTGGTATTTAGTCCTCTGTGAATACATCACCTCTGTCAGTTTAGAGTCAGTGACATTTAAAAACAAAGAAAAGCTAACATCCACCTAGAAATGCAGGAAAATCGTGTGCTCAGTTTCAATTTCTAGGAGTAGATACCTAATGGAAACTGTCTATCAGATTATATTAATATTGTTACAATGTAAATATTGAATGCAGGAATAAGATTAGCTAATGAGTGTATTAGAATGTATTCATATGAAAGAATTGTATTGATAACAAAGTAGCTACTCTTATTGAGTAATCTGTTCCTGATATTATGCCAGACACTTTGCATAGGATTATTCTAACCACTGTTACAACAACCCAGAAATTAGCCAGTATTATTCCCATTTATGCAGATAAGAGAACTGAAAGTAAGGAAAGTTAACTTGCCTACAGCCCCAGCCCCACTGTTAGAAGTGTCAAAGCCAGAATTGGAACCTAGATTTATCTGCCTCTAAAACCTTTTCACTATATTTCCATGATTGTCCTTTTACAGAAAAGGGAACATACAGACTGTCGCATAATAGAATTTGCATAACACATTCTTCTTTTTCTTGTTCAACTTCTTAGAAATAATCATTTCCGAAATGTATGAAATATTCTTTGTACTACTGTTCTAGACCTTCTCTGGCCTATTGCAGTGGATTCCTAAGTAGTTGCTTTTCTCTGACCTCTCCTCATCCAGCGAATTCAAGGAACTATTCAAGGAACTCAATTCAAAAAAACATTGAGCACCCATCCTGTTACTGGCTTCCTACTGGTTGTAAAATAAGGCTTCAACTTGTGGTCCCAGTGGGCATTTCCAGTCAGCCAGCCACTCCCACATACCAGCCTTAAGGCCACCAGGCTCTTCCCTAACCTGCCAGTCATTTCCAGCCCTTTGTTTCTGCTCTTCTCTTCCTGGAATGACCTCCCTTGTTCACCTAGGCTCCTCCCCACATCTGATGGACTATTCCACTCTGCAGATGTTACTTAAATCTGACTGCTTCTCTTCACTTTTGTGTTCACCTCTCCTCCCCTCTGTGGCGAAGGAGAGCAGACACCAGTAAACACCCTTCCTCTTTGTCTCTCAGTGAGGAGATAAAGTCTTTGCACAAGGGTAGGACTGGCATGCACCCAAGTCGCTGGTCCTATTGTTGGATCCTCTGATTCCTTTCTGTCTTCTTATGGGCCCAGCCATCTTCCTCTCACCTTCTGAGTTAGCATCTTGTTTCAGGATCTGGACATCCATGAAAATGTCTCATCACATTCTATTACAGTTTTTATTAATTTGTTCAACATCTTCTTTTTCTAGAGTAAAAATTAGCTCACCTGATTGGATCTTTGTTTCTCAAAGTGTAACTCAGTGTCTTGCATTTGGTGTGTGCTCAGTAGTACATGCTGAGCTGAATTCATTTGATCTCTTAAGTTATTTTAGGTGGATTTGTTTCCCTACTTGACTAATCCTTCCTGGCAGTGTGAGGTGATGTGGCATTAAGCACACATGACCATAAGCAGAGGCAGAGTCTTTAAATGTTTTGAGACTCAGACTTCTTGACATTCTAGTGGATGCTCTCACTAAGAAAAAACTCACTCCAGCACATGTTACAGCTTTGGTGTACCATTTCTGGATGAGTCCAGTCACGTCTCTGTTCTCCAGTTCCCTCTCTGCCTTAAAACAGTTTGCTTTCTGCTGCAGGGATAGTTTGTGGGGGTTTTTGAGTTTTGAGTATTGTATCTTTCAGGGTACTGTTTTACTTGCCATTGGCTCCTTTTCTTATACTTATTCTAGGTACATTTCCAACTGATTGACTACCTGGTGATATTAAAGAATTTACTTCTTTTTAGGTTTGAAATTATATTATGGGTATATTTTCAAAAGATCCCTTATCTTTCAGAAATGCATACTCGATGCAAAGAGGGAATGATACGGTATCTAGGATTTGCTTTAACATAATTCTGAGACATTGAGAGACAAGGATGGGGTGGGAATTTAAATGAGACCAAATGGACTATGTTGTTGTGGTTGAAGTGGGTGATAGATAGCTTCTTTACACTGTTCCCTCTACTTTTGGGTATGTTTGAAATTGTCCATGATGAGGTTTTTTAAAGGAAAGTCTGGAAGTATTACAGCCCCTAAGAAATTTTTGTTTTGCTTTTTCCACAAAACCGAAGGAAATAAGAATATGAGCATCATTTCTCTATACTTGGAGTTTAGCTTTTGTGGTATTCATTGTTAGAACACCCTAAACCCACAGAGGACTGTCTTGCAAACAGTGCATTTCCCTAAGCACATCACATTTCACCTTTTCAGCGAAACTAGGCGCTAGGGGACCTTCCTCAGTGCTTCTTCCCAGGGTTATGAGTATCTCACCGGCAGTTAACCTCCATCTGTTTTGCAAACTGAGAAAGTGATCTGCAGACAAGTCCAAAGAAGGAGTGCAGATACACTTAGTTCAGCTAAGAAAATCAAGACGTGACAATAGTGATTTTCTTCTGTGCCTCCCAGGCTGCCTCAGAAGGCATTCCCCAAAAATACAAAATCCATTACAGCCAGTATCAGCATTTTAGGATAGCTGTATTAATACAGGGAAATCAGACGGGTCTCAGGACAAGGTGTGCTTGCTAGGCCTTTACTCGTGGTTTGCTTGACTGGATTCTTACTTGGACACCTACTTTCTGATTCTTGTAGCTTTATAGTTTATGTTTCTTGATGTTTAAAATTTGGAGGGCAGATGATGGGTAGCCCAGTAGTAGCGTGCTTGCTCAGCATTCTTGAGGCCCTGGGTTTGATGCCCACCACTGCCAAAATTTTTTTCTTTTGTATTTTGTGTATGTTAAATATTTTCTAAATGTCTTCCTGGACTTTACTTGAAGGATTTTTAGAGAGCATTTAATTGAATGAAAACCTGCCAATCTTAGCAGGTCACACACAAGACTACTTTCCACTCTTACCTTACTTACTGTGCTGCCTGCATATTGAGGCCGTAGATCTCTTCACCAAGCATCTTTCGGGCAGTTTGGTGCCAAGTGCGGTGATTTGGCCTGTTCTGAATGTGCCGTGTGTTGAGTAAAGAGTGCCAAAAATGCTCAGATACTCATAATTGTAAACTATCTGCTTTGACAGTAAAGGTTTAGGTCACTCACTGAATGAACCAGTCCTTGTTATAATGCTGAAGAGACAATGCTCTCTTTATTCGTTCTTGATTTTTAACATTAGGTGTTTCCCTTGAATTTTTTTTTAATGCCAAAAATAAAGAAAAAAATGTAATGACAGCATAAACAAGAAAGAATAATGCCTCATGTTAATATTAAGGATAGTATAATACTTTAGCTATTTGTAATTCTTCTAACTCTAGAAATATTAATATTTTAGTGGAAAACAATTTGTGTAAGATGGAAAATTAGAGTTTTTTTCATATT